AATCATTATCGACAATGCCCGTCGCCAGTGTGTGAACAACGTTATCGTTATATTTATATATTATAATAATTATCAGTACAATTTAATGAGTTTATAAAAAAAAATGTATGTATGTGTACATTCTATCATCTTGCATAGTAAATTTTACCTATTTTTTTTGTAGGTTTTTTTCTTAACGCTTTTAAATAGGAAATCTCTCTATCGTCTCGTGGACAAAATATTTAACATTAATACTATGTCTGTGTGTTCGTGGTGTTCGTTATGCGGTATTCGGTTTGAGTATTTTAACGCCACACGTTTTATTGTCTGTGTAAGTATATATGGAAAACTGTGTGTATGATAATTTGTTATTACTGTTCTACACGCTGTATATACAGATAATACCGACGACATAACAGTCTTCTCCGCGTAGTCACGACCGCTCGTTTGTTTTTTTTTTTTTTAATTTTTTTTCTCTACAATATATCCGTGTATAATTTGCTCATCGATGTCTCTTGTGTGTGTCATGCAATTATACAGGATTTGTACAGACTCCATGGGTACAGCCGCGGAGGTCGTCGTTGTATAAGTAGGCTCATACACGAGACATTGTGCAAACCCAAACGTCCAACGCTATCGAAATTTAGTTGAAAAATCTGCAAAAACCTCTTAAAAAGAATAAAAATTCCATTTGACCATCCTTATATCTCCTTATTTATCCTTGTATCCTTATATATCCTGCAACTTGATGTATCTGCATGAAGTGTGGATACTCTTAACTTTAATTTCAGACTGACCCTCCATAGTCCCCATTGGTCTCAACATCTATCACATCTTTTGCATCCAAGTATATTTTACCGAACCTTGTATTTATTTACATGTCATTTGAATATAAAATTATAATATCGGGGTTTTATTTCAAAGAAAAATGTAAACTATTGTAGTTGTATTCTTGTTGTATTTGTAAAAAGACAAATACCTAGTTTGTACTCGATTGATGATTTACATTGTACGTGAAAATGATGTCTTTGTTTTTGAAAAACAAAACCCAAAATGTATACATTTTTTAAAGTGTCAGCTAAAAGCTGAATCTAATTCTTTCAGCACAACTTTTTTATGTCGCCTCGAAAGTTTTAAACCACCGACTTTACTGATTTTCTTTTGTGTTTAAATAAAATATTTTAAATTATAAAATTATTCTGAATTCATTTTTGTACTCGGCTTCTGAAGTCTGTATTTTTTTATAACAACATCGAAGGTGGTTAAAAAATAACTAGACGTGCTAGATAAAATCTTAAGCCAAATTCCAATTTAAAGAAACAAATCCCAAAACAATTATATACTTTGGTTTTTGTTCCAAAATCGCGTTGCACAGCGTTATTTTTATTTAGCTTGAGGAGCTTAAAAGCGGTCTGTTTTTTTGGACGTTTTAGACCAAAAAGTCTGGCAAAATTCCAACTACTTAAGATGGTCCGATTTCAATTCTGTATACATTCTTTGGAGTTCTTTGGCCACTTTACTAGGTTATGCTGGAGAAGGAAATTTTAATTTTTGCTATTCTCAAAAAAAAAAAGCTAATTGCGTTTTAATGTTAAAAACGTTCAAATGTAATTTATTTAATTACAACAAAATAAAAGAATTTGCTTAAAAAAAAAATTGTTTGATAAATACACATAAAAGAAATGTTACGTTTACCGCATATACATACTTAGGGCAAACTTCAAAAAACTTCAATGCTGGTTTACGTCGTTAGTCGCTTTGCCCGGATTTTCCCAAAACGAGTGAGTAGAGTTAATATAATATATTTTCATTAGACGGATTGTGTACTTGGCGAATATAAACCCCAAATCCTCAAATAAATTATAAACTGAATACTTTTAAATGGGTTATCGGTATAGGCGTGTTTTGTCAGAAAACTTAAGTGATTTTATTTTGTTGTTTTTTTTGGTACAGCAATTAGAAGACTTAAGGGGTAGGTAGTTGATTTTTTGTTTGATATCTATCATAGCAAGTTATTTACAAAGTTGGTCGGTAAATTCTTCATTGTTATTGACTATTCTTATTGTTCTATTATATTTCTCATGCGAACCGTAGAAGTGACTGTACACAACAAATAGGGGGCGGTGGCGTCCTCTTGAAAAGTTACCTAGTTTTTACACATTAAGGTGTGGCGTCGTTACTCGTCGTGTAATCAAACCACCTGTTCGTCTATTGACCTAAATGATGCATCCGCTGATTAAAAATTAGGTACCTACACGTTATTAAGCTGATAAAAAAACTCGAATAGTGAAACTGTATAATAATATATTAATGTAGTGTGTACATGCCGCTGAACCGATTGCTTAGTGTGGCAGTTTTATTGGTAAAAAATCGTACACGAAAAAGGTATTTTATTGGGGAAAAATTGAAAAAACTAACCTCTCCCTCTTCAAAATTGTGAAAAATACATTAAAAAAATAATGTAAGTACATATTTTTCAACTAAAAATTTCGGTGCTCTAAAACTTTTAAAAAAATAGTTTAATTAGTTCCAAATTTGTATGCAATATTCTTTAAAGATAATATAGTACTACCGATAACCAGGGGCGGATTACAAGGGGGTGGAGGCTAGCCACACTCCCTTGTGTACTTAAATTGTATCCGTTAAAAGTGTATTTTTGTTATTATAATGTAGTATATTGGAATATTATAGATTTTTTTACTATGTAAACGTTATCTCTATGACTATTGCTTACATATATATTTAAATGGGGATTTTTTTCTAGGTCCCTCCCCTTTTTTTTATTCTTGGATTCGCCTCTGCGTTAAACCAAAAAAAAAAAACAATAAACCCTTTCTCCTAGAAGGGGTGGACATATTTTCTTTATTACTCCCATTTTTTGGTGAAGTTTAAAGCGTTCGACCAAAGGTACATCTAGATGTAAATATGTAATCAATACATTGTAAATGTCAGGCAATACGTTTCTAAAGACTGCCAACGATCAACCCTAACAATAGAAAAATACATTTTTAAACGAAATCTTTTATCATGGATATCTGTATTTCTACCGTTACAGATTCGCATCGAAGCGTTAAGTGATCACACCCACCCCAATACCCGCTCCTCCTTCCCCACCTTACTGGCGGTATAATCGGATATGACCAAAACAGAAAACCCGGTGAGTAATATTGTGTTCGAGCCTAGCTCTACACTATCGTCTCTTGGTATTTACCCAACAAATAATGGGCCCTATGTTGTAGAAGAGGGTAGAAGGGGCGAAAAAAACCCGGGTTGTCGCCAAGTCTGCTCGGTGGAGGAATAGAAGATAATATTATTATGATATTGTCGAACTTGACTGCTGTGTGGTGCGTGTTATTGTTTTTCCCGTTTCTGGCGCGGACGTTTATAATAGGAAATAAGGTTAATAGGTGGGAGACATCATCACAACAGAGTGTTGGCACACCGACCGAGCAATATATAGCCGATATCCTAAACGTTTTTATTTTTCAAGGTTTGCACGCGCCACAGACCAGCACGGCGGACCACGACCGTATTGGAAACCGACGACACAGCTTGCCATTCATTGCCATTCGCATAGAACACCCATTCGCGTCGGCCGGTTTTTTAAAACGAAAAGCCATTTTTCCCTCCGGTAACGAAATTAATAAAAAAAAAAAAAAACGCGCAACATTAAACATTGTATATATTATATTTATCATGCATTACTTTTGTACGATTAAACGAGACAAAACTGGTCCGGGCGACCGCGTCATGACATATTATAATATCAACGCCGAAGGTTTAACGCTTTAAATGGATGCAAAATACATATAAGTACACTCTCGAGGTGAAATTGTGTTTATCCCCCGGCTTTCTTTCGGGAATCGCGCTCCAGAGCTTATGACATTTGCAATTGGGTCTTGCGATGGCTTACACGCAATATAACGGTGTGTTTATACAGGTCGGGTTATGTTAGGTCAGTTAGCAAGCAACGGCAAAATACAATTTTCATTCTTAGTACACAAACCATGTACAGCGGATGACGAAAAACAGATTAAGTTCAGTTTACAAAAATTTCACGAAGTCTGTGATCAAATATATCCTCTTTATTAACGTTAATAAGTGTACACTAAGCCCTAAATTAAAGTTCTGTGAACTTTTGCCTATACTTAACTCCTTAATGTAATCATGACGGAAAACCTCAGGAGACCATTGAGTCGATTCTAGCAAATCTATACAGGGGACGGTCCATTCAAATAATTCCCTAAACATTTTCTTCTGGTCCAAAGTCGGTCTGTGTAAACTTAGTCAGACTAAGTGTAATTCTAATGGCCAGTGCAGTTTTCAATCAGGCCTTGGGTGTACATTTTTTTACCGTCCAGTGGCGACGCAAGAAAGTCAAAAAAAAAATATCCTTTCAAAAATCATCATCTTATATAAACGTTTTTATTTTTATTTTGCGCAACACCCGTCCCCGGGGCGAACCTCTTTCTTTCGCCGCACTATATAGGCCTGTCCTGTATAATAGTATTATATATATATATATGTATATACACACACATACACGTCATAATGTATATCACGTATGTAAGTATGGAAAGCCAAGTCGGCGGCGGCGGCGACAAGTTCAAGTGGAACAAGGCCGTCGTAGTCGTCGTGGTCTTCTGGTCGTGCCGTTTCTATATATATATATTATATTAATATTATAAGACTTGTGCTGGACGCGTCGAAATCGAATTTTTGTTAAGAGACAGCTGATGCGCGCGTGTAATTGAAGAACCACAACGGCTGTGTACTATATGTATGGTTAGTACTATGCGGTGTACATTATATTATTATTATTATTATACCTACCTACCTACCTACCTACCTAACCTACCAGCAGCAGCAGCCTATGTATGGGGCCTGCCTAATACCGGCTAGTGCACATTTATCCCACATCTCTCGGGCGGTACCACACCAGCAGGTACACGGGCAAAGCAGACAAGTCGACCTTCCTCCGCTGCCGCCGCCGGTTTCCCACCATCTTCTTATTTCTTGTGCTCTTTGCCAGTCACACAAACACACACTCTGTCGGTCGGTCAGTCGTCGCCAGTGCCGTCGCTCTGTAGTCGCGGTTCAAGAGTAAAAAATACAAAATCGTCTCAAAGAAAAAAAAAATGGTAATTTTAATTAACTGCTGTGGGTAGTGCTCGCGGTGTTCCCGAAAAATCGTACTTACCCGTGTGTGTGTGTGTGTGTGTGCGTTATGCATGTAAAGTGATAGTTATTATTAATGTTACCGGTCGGCCGTCGTTTGCGGCTACAGTACACCGCGATGAAGGTCATGAAAACCAACAGCAGCTGTGGCGCAAAGAAAACGCAACCGGCCAATAAAAGGTACCAGACCATATTATCTTATCCTGACCTTCTGGCGGTCGAGAAGGACAAGTAGACGATCACAGCAGGGGATATCGTCTACCCTGGTCTCTGTCCCACAACCGAAAGTTAACAAGTTAGGTCTCTAGGACGTGAAAATCCGCCTCCTCTTACTCCTCTCGCTTGGCCTTAGGGGACAAACCCGTCCGGATCTCCTCGAAGATGTCTGGCCGCGTTTTTTAGGAGCAGCCGGATTGTGTTTCTTAAAAAAAAAATACCTACTATTCAACGTCTTATTATGCAAACGACTTGCCGGCGGCCGGATGTGCCGGTCGCCCGACCCAATTAACACAGCTCTTGTCCGGATTTTCACACAATGCTTATACACAGTTGGTCGTTACCGTACTTGGGGAGGGATGTATGTAACCCGGCCCGGCGGTATTCGTTTACCGTGGACCGATTTACACGCTTAATTTGGTCAATGATGGTCAATCGACTGTTAGTTGTGTTGAGAGGTTTAAAGGAGGAAACCGACCAAGTGCGGATTCGATGGAGGTATCGCAAGTAAATCCTTTCCTAAAAATATAGAAATATTGTTTAGTTTTTTTGGGGGGAAACGGTTTTCCCAAATTTGTCTCGGCGCAGACAATTTTCAATATTTGGACAATTTTCTTGAATTTGTTTTATTCCTTTTTTTAATTTTATAGTAAATTTTGTTTAGTAACATTCGCATGTTTCTTCCAACGTTGTAAATTATTATTTAATTATTTTTTAATTTAAAAATTGTGAAACAGATTTGTGTTCACCCGTACAATGTAATTATTATTATTGGCAATAACCTTGGAGTGTTATTATGTTTAATTTTTAAAATAATGAGCTATTTACACTGGCGTGTGATTGTAATAATTTATAAGGCACTAGGGAATAGTGAACCTAGAGCATCTAACGCTGCCGGCATTAAGAGAATACTTAAGAGTTCATAGATTCCAATATCATATTATTGCATCAGTTATAATGTGTTTCCTAAATTTTAATGGTCGCCTGTGTTCTAGAAATTTCCATTTGGTATCATATTAAAATTTTAACTCTTGTGAAGTAGCCAAGTTGGATTTTGGTATCGGTTTAAAATTATTCTGGGGGGGGGGTCAAAGGTTTTATTCCAAAACAGATTTCTACTCCTCTGGGAGATATTGCAAAGGTCAAATCCAAGAGCTGTTTATTTTAGCGCGCCTATCGGTTGTTGTTTATTTTTTTAAAAGATTACATATTTTCATCAACAAACAGAATGAGCAGAAAGAGATTATTGATATCAATTGTAATATTGTCAGTTAAAAATAATAATAGCAATAATTAATTGCTACAATGTACACATTTGTTTCTTATCGGCTGTGCTTGGACGTTGGTTATAACACTATATATTATATTATACAGGATGTAAACCAGTTGTAGATCTTTGTAATGTAACATAATATGTGTAAACTTTTGCTCGAAATGTCTCTTCCAAGACATGTTTCGAAATACATTTTAGGCGGTTAAAAGTCAATATTTTTTTGCTAACGTTATTGTCTTTTGAACTTTGTCAGAACAATGTTTTTGTGTAACGGTAGTAACCTGCACTCATAGAGTATAAGTCAAGTCGGTATAAGAAGCCACATAAGTCTCATCTGTCGACATGTTCACCGTCTGATCATCTAAACCTCTTTGCGACATTATTTATAACATGTATACCACAGTAATTTCTTAGGTCTACATATTATTTTGCTTTCACCGGGCAATCTTAATTTAGTAGACTCGTTTCAGTTTCGGTATTTTCGGCTAAAGTATAATACAATTACAAGTGTGTGTACTTGACCAAATTTTCCACCCCTTCGCCTGTGGCTCATAAGATGCCCCTCCCTCCCCCCCCCCCAAGCTCTAGCCGTGCATTAGAAACCGATCAAGAGTCGGGCAAAATCGTGTCTCGGTAATCATTTTTTTTTTTTCTCCTTTTCGAAATCCGTCGACAAAGCGACGGGTAATCCGTCAGTGCGATGCGGTTAAGTCATATATATATATCTATATGTGTTTATCTATTGGTGTTAATGGCGGCGGACTCGCGCCGGTTTTCGCCGCGTTATACAAGGTGAAAGCAACGATCTCGAGGCAGCAGCACAACACACGGCTGTTGTTTTGTAGAGCCAGCTAGCAAGAATACCTGAGAAGAAGAAGAAGAAGAAGAAGAAGACCACCGTCGCGGAATTGACACATTCCGCAAGCCGGCATTCGCCTGTGCTGCCATTGCCGTTTACAACACACACCGGTCGTTCTTGGACGTGTGTACAGCTGTGTACCTACCTACCTATTATAGACAGGACAGTGTATGATATCGAATTTCTACATAATGTGCTCAGACGCGGACGTAGTAGTATGGCTTCTCATCGCCGCAGCCAGTGTGGTAAGCCAAGCATAGGACAAGGAAAAGCATGGAAAGCGCACAGAGTAGTAACACAGTATGGCCTGTGGATGCTTGTCTAAGCCCAGAAAATGTTTTTTTTTTTTTTTTAATGTTGAAACCCGGTTGATTGTCCTTGAAAGAGTATAACAGGTCGGTTGGGTCAGGTTAGGAGCGTTTGAATATTTTTTTTTTTAGACAAAACCGTGTAAAACACCGGTTTATGAATTTGAGTACATCCGCTTGTCACGTATTTTTGGGTAGTTTCCAAAGCGCTTCAGTTCGGTAAAGCACGAGAGTATGGACATTTATTTATTAAACACTATCTGAATTCATTTTAATAGCAGTTTTACTTTATTTAATAAATAATATATCATGTTATTTCTTTAAGGTTACTTGTAAAATTAGTCTAGAGTTAATTAATTTATCTAGAGGAAAATTAGGTAAGTAAAAAAAAAAAATTGTTTTAATTAAATTAAAATGTTTAACGCGTCAAGGTTTGACTTTGTTCATGAATTATTCATCCAAAAGTCTATGAGAGAACAATAAGAAATATTATAACACAACTGCGAATATTAATTAATTATTATTATATTGTATTGCGTTATATTTTACTAAAAATCTACTGTGGCTCGGAGTGAGTGCTCTGGCCAATTGCTAAAGGTGCCTTTTAGCAGCTTTCAAGAAGATTGTAAAACGTTTGGCAATCGCATCCGTCCAAAGCGAATCGGTAAACGTCCTCCGACCAACAACAGTGTTAATTAATAATTGAGATTTACAGTCGGACGTGCGTTTCTAATCGGTATAACGCTCAATTTCACTATCGTCAGCTGTTAACGGTTACACGGATGATAATTATTTCTCTTAAGACGGTTTCGCAATTGAATATTAAGAAACGACGCGTAACCCGCGGCCAAGCAAGTCCTTCTTTAGGTTGTTAAAAAAAAAAAAAATAATAATTAATAATAACCACTCTTGACAATCATACTTTTAACGCCAGCTGGTCAGATTTATTATCTTAGAGTTATTAGGACTTAGAAATGTATTTATTTCTCGTTGTAGCTAAGGTGCAGTTAGAGTATTAGGTGGAAGCGCCCTTCCCCCTGGACTAGGTATAGAAAAAATAACGGTTAGGTTAAGTTTGGTTTGGTTTGGTTAGGTTTAGGTTTGGTTAGGTTAGGTTTGGTTAGGTTAGGTTAGGTTTGGTTAGGTTTGGTTAGGTTTGGTTAGGTTAGGTCGCTGTCCAAGTCGATGTTAGGCTCAAGTATAATTTGTCAAGATTTTTCCTTTGCCAACTGTGGAACATATTTGGCTGTACACGGCGATTGTATTTTGTGTGTAGAGATACTATATATTGTATAGGTAGGTATAATATATATATATATAATACTTGAACGTGTCGCTTGTGTACTGTCCGCAGTCTTAGACCCTATATAATATAAATCCTATTGATAATAATGAAATAGAATATAATAGTAAGTGTAGAAACTTAAAAAAAAAAAAAGTGCAACGTCGTCGTCGTCGTCGGATGTATTATTATTGTCTTAAGACCGCGGCATGACCATTATAACACCGTTTGTGTGAGTGTGTGAATCGCATACAACCTTGACACGGTTTCTATCTATTATATGTGTATGCACATATACTATACATATTAATATATAGATAAATATATATGTATATAATGTTGTTATTGTGTTATGCTGTCGTCGTCGTCGTCGTCGCTAAAACAAAACGACCGCAGCCATTAAGAAAGTAATTACTTTTTTTCTTTAATTTTACTTTTTACACAACTGTCGTCACTTGTGGCACACACAGCCGGACGGGGACGGAGAAGTTCGGTTCGGTTTAGATGAACATTGGGTATTAAGATTAAGGGTTGAAAATGTTATATATTGTCCAGTCAGTGTTGCTACTAGACAAATACAACACAACAGCGTTATTGTTTTATTTTCTTAAGTCGGCCAAGCAGGGACCTAAGACCGCCGGCGGCTTGTGCAACGTCTGTCGCTTCTATATTTATACACTGTCACGGCCTAAGTCGACACCTGGGCTTGTGTGAGTACTGTCTGTCTGATGAAAATCTGGGACCGACCAAAATCTGATCTCTGGCCAAAATCTGTATAAATTGTATATATATAATTGTACACTGTACACAACAATAGACCCCAAAGACTTAAATTAGTTTTAAAAAAAAAACAGCTCAATTTTGAGGTTATAGGTTAGATTTGAATTAATTAGCATTAATTAAGTATCAGTTTCTAGATGAGTATACATTTTTAAAATAAAACACATGACGTCGGTTCTTTGTTATCTCTAATAACTTTTAATTTTTATTCATTATTTAAAATTCACTAATCTAACGAAACTTATTCGACTACACTACCAAAAAAAAAAACGACTGTAAGTTGTATAATCATTTTTTTTTTTTTTTTTTTAAATGCAATCAGCATTTTAAGACTACACACAACCGAAATAGGTTGATAGATTATATATCCTGAAACCGCACTGCACCTCCTGTCTTAGATTTTAAACCTAAATAACTTGAAAAATAATTATTTCAAAACTGGTTATCGACCAGTCGATTTTTTCAGTAAACTGTTCTTAATTTAAAAAATTCAATTAAAAGTTTCAAAAGTTGATAGTAGTAGTTGATAAAGCTTTAGCAAATAATAAACAAGGTACAAATTCGTATATTGTCCAATAATAATGTACTATTACATAAATAAAAATGTTTTCAAAAAGAAAAACTACAAATTAAATGAATCACCCTGTATATATTATGTATACAGAGTGATCCATTTGATATGTAAGACAATCATTTTCTCGCGCAAACTTGAACAATATTGATTGATTGATTAATTAATTAATTAATTAATTAATGATTTTGTTCGGTTGCAGATACGCCCGCAGGGAAATGGCCAAGGCCACGGTGATGAGAGAACCCAGATCGGTGGCCAGGGTGAAACCGACCCAAACGAACCGTAACCGAATGGAGGACAGGAGAAACGGCCAGGGCGGCGGCGGCGCGTCCACGGCGTCCGCGGCGCCGTTGCCCCAGTGCAAGGTGAAGCGCAACTACGCGTGCACCAAGTGCAATTACTACACGCAGAACCCCAGGTTCTTCCTGTTCCACCAGAAGAACGTGCACGCCGAGAAGATCCGCGTGTACGAGTGCCAGCACTGTCTGTACGCGTCCAAGCACAGCCAGAAGCTGCAAAGGCACATCCAGATGGTGCACGTGGCCGGCAAAGGCAAGGGCTCGTTCAAAATCAAACTGCAGCGGGTCGTCAAGCCCGACGCGCAGGCTTGCCAACAACAGTCGGCGGCCGGCGGCGTGCCCGATAATAACGGCGGCAGAAGGCGGTCGACGTCGCAAGCGGCCGCCGCCGACGATCAGCCGGCAGCGGCCGCGGTGGCCGACGACCACCGGTCCACGTACGTGCGGTGTTCGGTGTGTCCGTTCGGCAGCCACAGCCAGATACTGGTCAACCGGCACGAGAAGGTGGCCCATCTCAAGAAGAAGTTCTTCCGGTGCATGAAGTGCAATTACGTGACGCACATGAAGGCCCGGTACACGAAACACGTGAAATACCACACGATGCCCATGATCAAGTGCGACGACTGCGACTTCCGGACGCCGTACAAGTGGAACCTGGACCGGCACAACCGGAACCACATGGCCAACGGCACGTACAAGTGCCATCACTGTTCGTTCTCGGCCGACATCAAACAGAGCCTGACCGTGCACGAGATGAACCACCACGTCCCGCCCATCGGCAACGTGTTCCCGGCCACCAAGCGCAGGTACCGGGTCGGAGCGTCCGATGCCCCCGGATCGGCAGTCGACGGAACAGAGGTAACGTTTACCTATTACTAGCCAATATAAGATGCTAATATATTCCTCTTCAAAAGTTGAAAACATTCTTCTAATATTCATTAAAAATCTTAGTAAAAATATGCTTTTACATAAATACATTCTCTTGAATACAAAATATGCTATTAATGCAAAAAAAAACTGTTGGGATGTTTGGTTAGGTATTACAACTGATGTTCACTCAGGTCACTCAATATGACACAATTTAATAATTTACAAAAATTATTTTTTTCTTTTATTTGCCAAAAAGTTTAAAAAAATTTTACAAAATAAAAAAGAAACGTATATAAATAGATATGTAATAAAATATGTCACTTAAAAAATAAAAATTCAACTGTAAATTAGTAAATAGGCTATTATTACTATTGTTTTATTAGCAACTCTAAAAAGATAATATCAACGCCAAACAATGTTAATTACCATAATGTAATATCTTTTCAAATGAAAATCTCAATTTAAACCTTAAGTTAACTAACAAAAAAAACTTGTAGACACTATATATTTATGCCTATGCGTTTGTTATTGACTTTATCTATGACACTGTGACAGGAAATCAAATCAAATATTAACAGTACAAATGTTTCAATGTTTCCATAATTTTAATATAATAGTGTATTTTTTTACATTTTTATTTTATGGGGATTTTTGCACACACAATTTATCTCTACAATTAAGTTTATAAATTGTATAAACAATATTTAGTGAATTTATTTTCTAAAGCATCAACAAATATTAAATGGTACTAACAGTATACCATTTAGTATTAGTTCCCACCAAAATCATTGTTGAAACATAGCTCCATGAGCTTATATTATATATTAGTATTTAGTATTATCTTTCGTCTTGGAATCATTTAAGTTGAAATTATTTTTTCTATAAATACAAAAATCTTAAATATTTTATTGTGGGGTGTGTGTGTATAAGTAAACGTTGAGAAAGTAAACGAGGCAAGTCTGTATGGGGCAAGAGCTGCTTATCTAAGCCGAGATAACGTTTTTTTTTTTTACAGTTTTTTTGGCGCTAAACAAAAACTAGAGTGGTGCGTTTAAACGTCATGTACTGTAACTATATATTATACATGTATATTCCAGTGAAACGATAAGGATTCTAAAAAATTGGGTATTTTCACCGTCACCGTCGTGTTTAGCCTTAAAAAAAAAGCTCAAAGCGTCGTTTGCATAATTTACACGTCAGCGAAAAACGTCAAGCAGTCAATCTGTCTTTTTTGGTTTTGAGATAATATATATTTGTTACTTTAGAAGCTCAACTGACAATCAGTGTATAGATCTGAGCTACAAAAATCTGTATCTACTCTTTTCAAATTATTGTCACTTTTGACAACCTATATACATATACGTCATATACTCAACAGCATATTGTTTTTCAAAACAAGATAATTAGCACACCCATTCGAAATGCTCGACTTGTATTATGCAATAATATATTTTTTTGTATTTATTTCCAACTGCGAACGGGACTTCAGAAAAATTGTTATCTTTAGAAGAAGAAAAACATAATTGTTGAGAAAACAAAAATCTTACCTATTATCGCGCGCCATGCATTGTATTTGTAGATTTGTATTTAAATTAATAAGATTTGCTAACAAATACTTTTTTTTTTTAAATATTTGTGTTTAGAAATTTGATTTTTCGCGTGATGTGAAATTTTATGGTCGTTTTCCTCGATTTGGAAAGACTTTTTCGACTCGAGTCCTCAGCCTAGACTTTTGCACCTTAGGCCAAGGACGGTTTAGGATCTACATGATATTATTATGTTATAAATACTTACTGTATTTATCGCACTTTTCAAGTCACTCGGCAGCCGTGTCGTCGGCTCCGTGTGTTATCTTATCGGTTTTTTAACAGTCTTTGTGCGTTCAATTGGTTTCATGTGTTATATTATAATTGTGTGGTCGGTTTCTCGGATAAGCACGCTGACTTTCTGTCGCCTAAATAATATTTTTTAGGACGTTTACAGCTATTATTACCATAAACCCGGTTGCAGGTACAAGCCAACAGGGCGTGCTGTCCGGTGTAATGTGTCTAGTAATAACAATAAAAGTAGTTGTTGAACTACAAAAGTAGTTGGTTGTGTCGATGACGACGTTAAGTCTGCATGGCGGCTGTGGGCGAGGTCGTTTACCGTGTTGTGACTCAACGTTTGCGCCTCATGCACAAGCTAGGTTAGGGGCAGGCTATTCTATTATATTTTCCATTTATGTACAGGGAGATATATACAAGTGATCCGTTCAATATATCACACATAGGGTTTAGTCAATATTTTCATGGTTTGCACAATTGCAATTGTCTTGTCGTCCTTATATAGAATCACCCTGTGCGTGTAACCCTGTAATACAGGAAATAATATACCCTATGTGATATTGAGCGGATCACTTTAAAACACCCTGTATACTCTGGCGGTGTGGGATAAGCGGAAACCAAGAGCCAGCAGTCATCCGGTATCGAAATCGCAGTGTACACAACTGTGTGTGTGCTTCGCGTAGACTGTCATAACGTCTAAGATATAGTATAGATTCCCAGTGTGAAATAAATCCAACACACGATGATTCACGGTGCCGCTGAAAGTGGAAAACCCAAACTTATTAAAAAAAGTTCGTTGAACAAATGAATCCCAAAATCTGACCCGGTTGACTTGGGCCAAACTTACTTTTTGGCTGGTCGTCAGGTTCAGCTGCGCTAATTTTTTTTTGTTTGAACAGCATAAAAGGGTTGTTCAAGTATAATAATATTCTATGTTAATATAAGCACGGGCTGTCGGCGAAGTCTGTATATTACTTGTTGGATTTTTTTGCGATTTTTGAGCAATTGCGTTTGAACCTTGAAAAACAAAACCGATAAGTCTAAGTAGTGTTTTTCAAATAATTTTTTCATTTACGTCCATCTCTCTGCCAATCGACGACCGCCTGTATTTGTGTGCGATTTAATTATCACATTATTTCTAATGTCAAGTTTGACGAGTTCCTCCTTAGTGTACTGTGGCGGGCTGGCTTGCCTGGTTATCGTTTTCGATGATGTTATCTATATCGTTGTCTGGTCCGTTTTCGATTACGCATACATTATTTTATATTTTTATCTTTTGGTTTTGTAATTGTTTTTTTTTTTTTTTAATTATTACATTACACACGAACTCGCTCTATAATAATAAAATGTCGTTAGCATGGTTAATATGATTGTTTTTTCATACATATTATTAGAAGTAGGTATATAGCGGCGAAGGATAGTGCAGCAAATTATAATATTTATTGGCGTTGGATATAATATAATACTATGTTTTATTGAGTATATTATTATAATTGGTTCTTAGATATTATAAACCTGCTGCAGAGCACAGTAGTAGTCACACAGTACAACACTTAATACGCACATAACATTATTTATATAGTCTAACGTTCAAGGCTTCGCCGTCCGACGAAGAACCGCGGCGTGTGTTCGTTATCTTTGCGTTTGCGCCCGCCTTTATAACACAATATATATATATATATATATATGTATATAATATATATATATATATATGTACACTATAGGTTAAGTATTTAATGTAATAATATAGCAGCAACAGCAGCAACAGCAGCAGCAGCAGCAGCAGCGTTTTGCTCACACCGACAACAGTCACAGTTACAGGTTGTGGCGTGCGGTGTATGCGTGTGTGTTTTGTAAAAGCTATTAAAATAATTTCATATTTCACAGCGGCAGTGCGTAATTTGTGATTATCGTTTTGTCTCGTGATAGGCGAGTTTTTTTTTTTTTGCCAAAGAGTAAGTACACAAATTTGAAGAGTTGAAAAAAAAAAATATACCGACACACACCGGTTATAATTGATAAATAACGTGTAGTAAGCGTGTTGTGTGTGCTGCCCGGACGACCTCGCTCCAATGACTGAATAACACACTTAGACCCGCGTGTGGCCAGTTGCTGCTGCTGCTGCTGCTGCCAGATGAGACCACTACAATATAATAACGACTTCCTCTTTTGCTTCTTCTTCTTCTTCTCCTTCTCCTCCTTCACGTGAATCGCCAAGGAAACAATAAAATCGGTCTGAATATAATACCATTTTTTCGGATCAATTTACCACCACCCTGTGTGTTATGTAATATACAATAACTCTTGGTTTCGGTTTGAGCTTGGGTCGAGGTCAGTCGGCAGAGAAGTCTCTCCTTGGACCTGTTTTTTTTTTTTTTATTTTTTTTTTTTTTACTCGATGGCAAGTTGGCGATTTCGGACTTTCGTGTAATCGTCTTGTCGTGCGCTCGCCACGGCCGTCGACTATAATATTGCAGTTTATACACGTGTTTACAAGTGTTTTTTTCTGATATATTATGTGCACGTCTACAACGTCAAAGTAGTAGTAGTAGTTGTATCTCGTAGATAAAGCAAAAAAAAAAAAAACGCAGACAGAACGCCTAAGCTTTTTTGGAGACGTACGATTAGCAAACCAAATATATAGATAATAACAATAGTAGGCTAGTAGACATATCATAAAAAAAATACTCATAAGATACCGTCGGTTTAATTCTATGTATACTAATGTTATTATTGTTGTAATGCTTACGGTCTCTGGCCGGCCACGTTCCCTGTGGATTTTTTTCTTGTAGTGTTTTTTTTTTTTTTTTAAGCAATTTTGTTTAAACTTTTATATTATAATAATTATGTATATGCCGGTCGACGACGTCGCTGATGATCTCACGAAGTCCTAGATATAATATTATAATATATATTGTCTTGTGCACAGGAGAAATCCAGCAGCAGGCTGTGTAAGGCTGGTTGTAAAATTGTAATTATAATAAATAGTTGTAGTAGTAATAATAATAATAATAATAGTAAAATACCTATTAGTAATAACGCAATTGGATGAATAGTGATGATGATGACGACGCCGATGATTATATATGTGACGACATGCCGATGACTGCGTTACTTAATACAGAGTCGCGCACAAGCATATTTTGCGATTTTCTATACTTAAGCATGTATAATATACGATTAGATACGATTTTATACTTGTAATAGTAGTGCAGTTTCGAGGCTATACAAATATCGTACACGGGCGGCACGCATCTCCGACTTGCGGTTTAACCGCTAGTTAGTAGTCCTATATTTCGGTACACACACAATGTTAACAATGTCATGTGATTTATATGGGCGAAAAATTAATTACTATTAATTATCGGACACGCCTACTTACACTACCTACGGCAACGGAGCTTGCCGGGTTTAGTTTTTTTTATTCTATGAATTATTTTCTAATTTGGCGACGATTCACGATGATATCCGACGTTCGACGATGATGCCCGACGTTCGACGACGATGTCCGACGTTCGACGACGATGTCCGACGTTCGACGATGCAGTTTTGACTGTTTGTGGACTACAAGTTATCGCGTTGATATGTATATATAAATTTATGTACATGTATATATGTATGGCTTTTAAACTTTACTGTTGGATTAGGATTGTCGCGTTCTGACCGTACTTATAGTAGTAGTGTTTAATAGATTGATTTTCCTATGTTTATACATATAAACGATTGACGCCTATGTAGCTGTCGTGCCCCTAAAAACGACGGCCTTGTCCGGCCTGCGTTGGAGTAACATGACTGTAGCATATGATTTCCGGACGGATCAGGTTCTAGTAGAGCACGTGGGTGGTGGTTAGCACACAGTGTTGTACACCATATGTGTAGAAGAAGTAACGTCAGGACTTCCCTGTCGAAGCACATATTATATGTATATACACATAAAATGCGTTGTTCACGCGTCTTGTGTGTGTGTGTGTGTTTGTCACATTATTGTGTTTTATGCGTGGAAAAATGCCGAGGCACGCACGTTAATTACTTGTAAATCTATGCACATATATGTGCACGTGTGTGTGTGCGCGCCATAGCAGATGCCTGTAGCGTTTAAATACTACCGCTGCCTATAATATACCACCTAATAATAATAACGGGTGCTGTGGCCCCAGAAGCGGTCGTTATACTCTGCGGGTTATTGTTATTGCAACGGTTATTAAATAGCGAGCCAAGTCGCTCACTTACTTGCTTCTTACTTAGTCGTACTTACCTTTGGCGTGTCTTCCGTCCGAGGCGATCGTCGTCGTAGGTTCTTCTTAAGGGGACACTCGTCTGCGGTGGTCGTCGGTCCGATACTGTTGTGTGTGCATAACATAATGTGATACATTAAGTACATTTGTTACAACCTATGTGTGTTGACAATGGCGACGGTAGTATTTCAGCCAGCTACGACCATATATTATACATATAAAGGACATTATCGATTTTAAGATAATGGCACCGTACAACATTGGGGCTACTATTTAAATGTCAAAATCCATTCGACGAAAATCGGTTACAGTGGGGCCAACTTAGCGCTTTAAAAACGGTCGATTCAGTGCTGACGGCATTATGGAATTATGTGGAGTATGGAATTATGGGGGTGGATCACGGAGTAGTATGGGGGATTATGGAGGTGAATTAATTGGATTAGAGATTGCAGGACTTATCTATGTATTGTAATGTATCTGCATGAAGTGTGCGGATACTCTTAACATTTTTGGTTAGCCGTTTGTCTAAAGAATGTACGTTTATGTGTTTGTGCAGATCGTGACTTACGAGACGGCCAAAGACGGCGTGGTGGAGATCATGACGGAGACCAAGAGCACGCCCAACAGCTCGGCCAAAGCGAACCCGGTCAAGAGCATCGTGACAAAGGCCGTCAACTCGGACGGTAACATATCGGTGAACCTGTTCAGTTGCAGCAGTTGCGACTTCAAGTCGGCGTTCGAGTGCGACGTGAAAACCCACATGGACCGCAGTCACTCCGTGGCGTTGGCGGCGGCGGCTGCGGCCAAAAAGAAACAGTCACCGAGGCCGTTGCCCCGGTTGATACCCATCGACCAGCAACAGCAGCAGCGGTTCAAGCCGGCCGCCGCGGCGCCGCCCGTCATCCGGATAATCAGCACCAAGGCCACCGTGTCCGAGGAAGACTACAACCGGCTCAAGGCGAACGCCGCGCAGAGCGCTCTCAGCGATTTCGCTTCGCTGATCGACGAAGACGGTTTCAAGCCGCCGACGGGCAGTGACCAACAACAACAACAACAACAACAGGCTACGTCGTCGACGTCGACCTTTGGCGGCGGCGGGGGCGGCGACAGGAGCAACAGCGGCTCGCCCAGGAGCAGCAAAGCCTCGTCGTCGGACGGCGGCAGCGGCCACTCCAAGAGGACGGGCTCTTCGTTTTTCGACAAACTCAAAGCCAAAGTGGACGAGACGTCCGACCTCAAGTGCGACGTGTGCCAGCACGAGTCCAAGTGCCTGTCCGAGTTCATGTGCCACCAGAGGACGCACGGCGACGTCAAGCCGGAGGAGAAGAACGTGCCGCCGGTGGTGGCCACGCTGTCGTCGTCCGAGCTCAAGTCGACCAGGTGCCAACACTGTCGGAAGAGGTGCAAGACCAGCGCCGAACTCAAGGTGCATTTGAACACGTGCGAAGCGGCGGCCGCGGCCATGGCGACGTCCGTCAAAGTGGAGACCAACGACAACGACGGCGGCGGCGGTGGTCGGACGATAAAGCGGGAGGAGATGGGCGACGAAGGGACGGCGGCCGCCCAGTCGGCAGACGACGTCGACGGGGCGGCGCATCATCCGATGGAAAACAAGATTTTCGTCTGGAACACAGCGCCGGCGTGCGCTCCAGCCCAAGAAGAACTGAAACAAGAAACCATTGTGACGCCGCCGACGACGACGACCGACGTCAAGAGCGAAGAAGACCAGCCGGACCAGTCGGATCAGCGTGGCGAGTTCTACTCCAATCTAGTCTTGCAACCGCATCAACAGTTCCACCGGAAAGAAGGCAAAATGTACAAAACCGTAAGTACAAAACAAAAAATTTCTCTCCAATCGGCATCATCTTGGCTTGACACTTGCACGAATTTGTTTTACTTGAAAAACATATTGAGTTTTAATAACGTTCATTAAGCGTTATTTTTCAATTTTTAAACGACAAAAAAAAATACAATTTAACTGATATTCAAGTCAACAAAAAATATTTTTTTTTGGGGGGGGGGGCTAAATTTTAGTCAAAGGGCTAAGCCTCCTCCCTCCTAGTTGCACCACTGAGCCTTAGGCGGTTAAAAAAATATAATCATTAATCTTTTCATGATTATAAATTATATTTGAGTGATTAATGTAATCATGATTACAACTACATGATTATTTTTCTGATTATTGATTACAATTTGCCCAACACTGACCACATCTTGTCTGTGTTTTTTTAATTTTTTTAGGTGTTCAAGTGCCCACACTGTACGTTCTGGGCGTCGACCGCGTCCCGTTTCCACGTGCACATCGTCGGCCACCTGAACAAGAAACCGTTCGAGTGTTCTTTCTGCGCGTACCGGTCCAACTGGCGGTGGGACATCACCAAGCACATCCGGTTGAAGTCGGCCCGGGACAACTCGCATCAGGGCGCCAAAGTGCTGATGACGGACGAGACTGGCCGCCGGAACTACACCAAGTACAACAGGTACCTGACCGTGATGGAAGTGGACGACAAGGTGGACTGCGACGGCGGCGCTAGGGGCGTGGGCGGCGGCACAAGGATGCAGCAGGTAGGCGGACGCAGGAGAACGCAGAAAGCTCAGGCGTACGGACAGCCGGCTGTGGCCGTCAAACCAGTCAGCGGCGGCGGCGGCAAACAGGCCAGCAGCGGCGGTGGCAAACAGGCCAGCAGCGGTGGCGGTGGCAGACAGTCCAACAGCGGCAAACAGGCGACCAGCGGCAAAGCGGTCGTCGTGCCGTCGATTCCGTGCTCAAAGTTGGTGGACGTGACTACCGTGTCTGCCGCCAAGACTATTGCCGTGCTCAAGACCGAAGACGGCCACGGCCATCAGCTGTTGGTGGACGGCCAAGACGGACAGGTTAAGAAATTCAAAATCAGCCGCGTGTCCGCCACGAACAAAGTAACGCCCGTCGTGCCCTCGGCCGACAACCGGAAGACCGTGTGGAAATGCAAGAAGTGCTTCTTCAGGTACTGAAACGGCTTGTTGGAGTAGCGTCTAAGCAACTAAGACTTGAGAATTGCGGAGGAGGTGTATGGAGGAGTATTGAGGAATTACGGAGGAGTATTAATGAGTTATGGAGGTGAATTAATAGAGATAGTGGATTTGTGATACTAGATTGCAGGACATATCCGTGTATTGTTGTATCTGCATGAAATGTAGATTTATTATTTTTTTTTGAGCCTCCTTTACTTATAGTGTAGTGCCTTATGCTAATGTGCGCTTTTCTTTTGTCTATTGCAGGGACTGCGACCGTCTTACCGTTTTGAACCACGTGAAGGCGCATTACAGACGAGGCGAGTTCTCCGGCCCGTCCCCCCAGCAGAGCATATCCGTAAGTAGTATGCACATTGATTGGCTGGCCCCGAACGAATCGGTTATAATAGATTATGTTATTGTTGTTTTAGACGGAAGCCAAAAGCAGCTCGTCTTCTGCGTCGGATTCGACGAAAAAAGAAAAGGTGGTGCCGCCGCCGCCGCCGCCGACCAACAACGCTAAACCGTTGTCGGCCAAGACGTTTATCCTATACGGTAAGCACTGTTCTGTTTGTGGCTGGGTTAAAAAAAAATAAATCTAAACATTTTCCTTTTGCAGGCGACGACAAAACCACACTGTCTTGTTCGCTGTGCGACGTGAAGTCCAGGACCCAGGCGGAGCTCAAGGAACACATGCAAAAGCACATTCCCCAAGAGACCAAATACCGGTGCGAGTACTGTCCGTTCTGGTCCGAAGAGAAAAAGTAACTATTAGCTGTTCACCATTATGCACTGTCGGCGGTGCATAACTCTAACTCTTGACTTGTGGTCGTTTCCAGAGCCATGTTGGACCACATGAAGTACGCGCACGAAATGGAAGACGGCGGCGGCGGCGAACAGAGTCACCACCCGGACGATTCCCGTGTTAAAAACGCCAAACGAAACGGCGAATCAGATGCAAAGGACGAACAAGACGAGGCGATGGAAGTCGGCGAACCGACCAAGTACGAGGCCGACGACCGCCCGTCGATGGATATGTCATCCGAACCGATAGAACATGGTAATAAGTCTACGGTGGTGGTGAACGGCGTGCAGCCCAAGGAGGAGAAGGAGCTTGGGCTGGAAGCGAAGACGGATGCGCGTCTGCCGGCTGAGAAGAGGGCTTTCGAGGACGACTGCCAGTACGACGACGACGCCGAATTCCCTAGGGATCTCGAACTCAAGGTACGCACACGTTAGATCAGTTAATAAAGTAAAAGATGACCGAGGGAAGTTAGGACAGCCAACACGTTTAACAGAGTAGGGGGAGATATATATTGTGGGTTTATATTAAGTCTGACGTGTTGGAGCAATCCGTGGTTCAAGCGGTCTACCTTAAAATTAAAACCAAGGTTCTCTCTACTCCACAATTTTTTTTTGGTATTATTACCGTTAATGTTATTTTTAAACTGAGGTCTTACTTGTGTCGGGAAAAATCCTCACAATAAAGCGTGACTCAAGAAATATGGCTAAATATAGTTAAGAATATCCACACATCATGCAGATACATCAATAGATGGATATGTCCTGCAATCTAGTATCTCTATCAATTCACCTCCATAATTCCTTAATACTCTTCATAATCCTACTCCATAATCCATAATGACGTCATCACTGTGAGCACTAAGACATACATATCCATGTCAAAAAATATTATATAGTAAATATTGAAATTTAATGTAAAACTAATTTTTTTATTTTTATCTTTAGTCATCCGAATGCATACCGTGCAATGTGTGTTGGTACTATTCCACGACCAAAGCGGACATGGCGGCCCACAAACAGCTGCACGTCCGTCGCGGCGCTCTGTACAACTGTGACCGGTGCGTGTACAACGTGACCAAGCTGAGCCTGCTGTACGACCACTACAGATGCGCGCACATGGTGGACGAACCGGAACGCGCGTACCCAGAGGACGCGATCATCCGGGCCGGTTACCGGGAGATGCTGGCCAAAAACCACGTGGACGACGGTGACCGGGCCAACGAGACGCCCATGCTGTGGTCGTACAAGGACGGCACGTTCGCCAAGGTGTACAAGTGCCGGCACTGTCCGCACACCAACGGCCGGCGGCACAACACGCTCGAGCACGAGAAGATGCACTCGGACCACTCGGACCAGCCGGGCACCGGCTCGGACGCCATGCACCCGTGCAAGCTGTGCACGTACGTGTGCAACAACGCGGGCGTGCTGTCGTCGCATCTCAAGGTTCACGCCGACGACTACAACTCGGTGATCGCGTTCTGGGACTCGGCCATCGGCGACCAAGCGCAAATCAAGGCGCTCGAGCACGTCGTTCGACTGGAGTCCGATCTGGACCCGACGCTCGTGGACCGCGGCGTCGACGATGGCGGATTGAAGTTCTGCAAGTGGTGTCCGGCCCGCTACTTGTCGGTCGCCGACCTGAGGTGTCACGACCGCGGCCACCGGTTCAGTTGGTCGTACGCCTGTCAACACTGCACGTACTCGGCCCGCACCGAGGAGTTCATCGCACTACACCGACCTTTGCACGAAGACGAGTACAAAACGCGCACCGACCAGTTGGTGGCCGAACACGGCGTCAGCCGCCGGTACCCGCGACCCGGCCGGTCCGACAAGGCCAAGTCGCCTCCGCCGTCGACGGTGGCCGGTGGTTCCACCAAGCCGCTGGCCAAAGGATACGTTAGGCAGTTCACGTGCACAAAGTGTCCCGGTCGGTTTTTCAAGATCGCCGCCCTCCAGTACCACCTGACGCTGCACGGCGGCCCTGGCCAACATAAGTGCCGGCGGTGCGACTACGCTGTGAGCACGTACGGCAACCTGATCAGACACGAGACCGTGCACGAAGACCTGCCGCCCAGGGAGAGGCGTTCCCGCGGCGCGAACAAAGCGTTGGCCGCCGCACAGCCGCCGCCATCGCCCACGTCCATCGCGGACGCCCTCAAGGAGTCTTCGTCGTCGCTGAAGGCCATTGCCGCGCGGGCCGCCATCGCCGCGCAGGCCGCGGCCGTCGCTCAAGCGGCCGCCGACGACGGCAACACCGAGTCGACCGCCGACCCCGAGTTTGGCACGCAAATCCACGGCAACCCGATCTTCTACTATCCGACCACGGTCAAGAACGGTGTGGCCAAACAGAAACGGTACAAGTGCCCGAAGTGTCCGTCGGCGTTCGACAAGCGCGAACAGTACAAGGTGCACCTGACGCTGCACGGCGCCGACGACAAGTACAAATGCGACAAGTGTGACTATTCGGTCAAGTACACGGCCAACTACGTGCAGCACCAGCGCAAGCACGCTCTTCACGCGGAGCTCCGGAACGTGGCCGCGGCCGGCATCGTAGTATTTGACAACGAAATCGAAGAAGAGAGAACGCACGACGGACGACGTGGAAATGGAAATCGAAGCGCCGGAAGAGCCGTGGAACAACCGGCGGCGGTGGAACAAACGGCGGCGGCGGCGGAACAAACGGCGGCGGCGGCGGCGGAGGAGGAACAGGTGCAACCGGAACCAGAAACAGAACCGCCGGTACCGGCGGCGGAACCGGTCCAAGACAAGCAAGAGCCGCCGCAGCAGGAACAGCGTAGTAGCCGCCGGAGCGTGAACTTCCGCCATCATCACCGTCGGGGCGGCTGTGCCGCCGGCGGCGAAGACCGGCCGACGCCGACGGCGAACAACACTACCCGGACGAAGAAATTCCGGGACGAGATAAGCGACGCGCAGACGGCGTTCGAACTGGAATCGGCGTACGCCGAGGTGTTCAAGTGCGTCGAGTGTCCGTTCGTGTGCGGCTCCCGGGCCGAGCTGGACAAGCACGTGGTGCACCATTCGTCCAAGCGGTGGAAGCGGGTGTGCACGTTCTGCACGTACGTCACGCAGACCGAGAGCGACCTGTCGGACCACATGCGCGTGCACTTCGGCCGACCGCCGGTGGCCAGGGACATGCCGCCGGCGGACGGCCTACAACCGCTGAACGCCGCCAACGACGACGACGACGACCGGCAGCTCGAGTACTACGGCAAGCGGGTGTTCGAGCGGGACGAGCCGCACGACGTTCGGGACGAGGAGTCGTTCTTCGTGTTCCGCGACATGGGCGACCGGTTCGACGGCAGCATCCGGTTCACGCCCAAGGGCTGCGAGCCCTTGATCGACTTCAACGAGAACAGCACCGTCAAACCGACGTTCGTCCGGTTGCTCAAGGGCGGCAAGGTCGAGTTGCCCGACAAGAAGAAGAAAAAGAAGTAACCCCCCTTGCTCCCCCCCCACATAGTAGTATATTATTCTGTTATCATTCCCAACCCCTACAACCTCCCTGGAATCCCCCTGATAAGAATCCCACCAGATAAGAAATCCCCCCCCCCCGACGCCGCCCCTTTAGCGACCGTACACTATTGCCATATAGAGAAGGTAATAGGTTGATGACCGTAAGACACTTGTCTTTGTCTTTTTGTTTTCTTTTGATTATTGTTTATGTTTACAACAATGACACCCCACCAATTTTTATATGACTACTATACTTATAGCAAGTTACGACCGACCGTTAAAAATTAATACACCGTTTTAAGAAGTTTTTGTTTATTTTTAATTATTTTTTTGTTTTGTTTTGTTTTGTTTCCTTTTTTTTTTTTTGTATATATTATTTTATTTGACGACCTCGACCTTAATTTTTAATCATATTTTACGTTTGTATATATACTTCCAACACATATATATTACTTACAATAATTATTATTATATTATACTCTTACGTTATTATTTATTTTGACCGGTTATAGGTAACCGTTTAATAATCAAACGACGTCCGGACGGGCCGAAAACAAACTAACGATATTACTATTATTAACGTGTGCCATGGTCTTTTCTAGGTTGGGGTACTTAAATATAAAACAAATTATCGTAGTACGTACCACTAATTTAGAATTATTATTATTATATATATATACAGTACCTAGCTGCCGTAATGATTTACCTCGGTGTTTAAACAAACATATTATTTTATTATATACATTTGTCGTAGTTATCATTATTAAAATAATATCGTATACTTAAGTAGACTGTTTTATTTTATTTTATTTGTTTTTTTTCTTTTTTGTTAATTAGTTTAGACCGCGAAACATTATATTATATTATTTTATTAGATTCCAGGAGACTGTGAAAATGTGTGTTTGTTATCGATAAAATATTATAATCGAAGTAATAATTATTGTCTTTTGCGCCAACGGGGATATATATATTATATGTATAACATTTTATTATTATTATTATACCTGTTATCATTTATAAAATTTCAAATAACAAACTTATGTATATTATATCAATATTATATAATTTATTATTGTACTCTTTGTAATTGGTTTCATTTTTTTTTCTTTTCAAAATTACTCGGTATTAATATATATATTACATACAACCATAAAATGTATACAACATTAAACATTAATGTTTTTTTTTTTTAATCGCCATGATTGGATATTCTTTTTAACGTAAATTGTATTAATATAAAAGTACACGTTGTTTACAAAGTCGTATTCTTTAAATGCGTTCTGGTCCTATATAGTTCAATCACACCGTTTATTAGTTGTATTAAAATCAAATATTATTTGTACACACAAAATACTTCACAGAAGTAGTATCGTGCTGTGGTCCAATCTTAGGATAGGAAAGACGTGTGCGAGTATATGTGGACTTGTAATCTTTGTAAGACGATCGTGCAAATAAAAATAATGTATATTGTTGTTGTTCTTATTTTTACAAAACGGATACAATATATGGTAATTTTTATTTTTCTAACACTAAAGAAAACACGTGTAGATAAAAAAAAATACATATAAATACATAATAATATTATACATCATTATATTGTATAAGTAACGAGATCAATTGGTTATGTTATTTTATTTTTTTCATCAGTCGTGTATTAAATATAATGATTCCAAAACGTGAATTCATAGCTTGTGTGTGTGTGTGTTGTGTTCCATCGAACAAAAAATATGATATTAGAATAACAAAAATATATTATAGTAAATATATAAAAAAAAAAAAATAAAACTATTACGATATGTTTAGAATATTATTATAACATTATTATGTTCTGTACTAGGAACATTATAAAAGAAAAACAAAGAGCAAAATGACCGATTAGAAAAATAAATCTGTCGTATAAAGCGCAGACGAATCGTAGATAATTATTTTAACCATGGTAATTTTATAGAATAGGGGTGGGGGGAAAGTAGAGGGGAAGCGTGTGGTGAACGATGTGTGTTTTTCACACGTTGTTTTTGGTGTTTGAGCTGAGTTTCAACTGGGACATATACGACGTGATGTTTGAATCGAAATCGTAGCCAGCGGTCGTCCTGTTGCCCGCAGCAACGGCAGGGTCCACGCACAACGATCCGAATGTGGCTATCGATATGGTCGTGTACGATCCGCTCACAATCAATCGGTCCGACCAGATCTGAAAATATGGAAAATGTGTTATCAAGTAGTTTACTGTTAAATCTATTACCGTAGGAGCAGCAAATGGCCAGTTTAGTCTAATTATTGTTTTAAATTACTCATATAGTAAAGATTCTTGTTTTTAGTTCCACTTTTATCGCTGTACACCAAATAGAGTAAAAATAAATAAATAAACAATCATAATTTACTCTGCTATTGCATTTGTACTGGATGTTGGCGTTGGCGTCATATTCAAACGTGCCCAAGTTTTCGAACGTCGTAGCCGACTCGTTGTTTATGTTGTTGATGTAAAACTGTACTGAAAACTTTGTCGGGTTTGTTGATCTATAATAAAAAAAAAAAAAACACTGTTTAAAACCTATTTAAAAAAAATATAATCCAAAATTTATAATTTAAACAAAAAAACAACCAATCCATTGCCTAATATGGAAAAGTCATGTCTGAGGTTATTTTAGAATGCACCTATTTATTTTTGTATATTTGTGTTGTCGATAATAGTATGATTTTCCATAAATAAATTGTACAAGTCAATTTTTAGTCATAACATTGAAAATAAAAATGAAAAATTAGCTTCCTAATAGATATTGTAAATGTTATAGCAAAAAGCAATGTATTTTATTTGAAATCGGTTTAGAAGACACGTAAATCATTTTAAATGATTATTGTATCATTTATTGTCAAAAATTTATAAAATCTAAAACTAACAATAGAAATAAGCTGTAAATAAATTGTCCTGATCAAAATCTAACTATAAAATAACTACTATTAGTTTATGATTTAAGATATAGTATATTGGTAAGAAAACATAGGAATAATAAACTGAGTTTGGTCTTTTGACCATTGTTCATATGTTGTGTAATGTACATAATACAATATTGTCATATACTATTATAATATTCTGTATGAAATGTAAATAATATGTATATACATACAATAATTACTTAAGATTTGTTTTGGTTATGGGTTAAACAGTATAAACTATTTACTCGATTAGAACATTGACCATTTGACCTGATAAACACTGGCCGTACTTATCAACGCACTCTTTTTTTTTTACTACGATACATTTTAATATAATATAATTGTACAGATAAAAAACCTAACACGTGTAAACAATTTACCAAAAAAAAAGTGGGGGTAGATTTGAATGAAAATCATATTATTAATAATTCATAGTTATTTTATTTTATGGCAAATTTCAAGTTTGAGAGTGCCAATCTTTGGTTTAAACACACTATTCCCAACCGCCCCCAATCAAGTAAATTATTTTATTTATCAATTTTTTACAATACATTTTTATTCAAATCTACACCGACTATGGATTACATTTGAATCATCTAAAGGTGGCATATTTGAATGTCTTTTATTAGTATATATTAAATTTTGTACAGTACAATTAATTTATTTTATATAAAATGGTTTCTCTTTATTTAAAGAAAATCAATATAGAACATAAACATATAATATACTATATTTTATAAGGCGGTATTCGGTTCTTAATTAATTTTTTTTAAAACTCGAGCAATTTTTTACAACACTTATCAACTTACTCAACTTAGTAAGAAACATACATACGTTATTTTATTTTCTCAATATTTTACGCATTATTCAAATGTAGCCCGCATTCAAATCTACTCATTTAATTGTTTTTTTATCCGTAAGAATATCATAGCCACTTCGAAAATAATAAAATTGTCCATAAAACCCATTTTTTTTTTGGTACTTTAAATAGTGAACTTCCAAATAATTTATTTATAAATTTAAAAATTTTTTTTATTAATTACAAACGTAACTCTCATTGTCACGCATTTGATGATTTTACAGTATCCTTTTTAACAATTATTCTTTATTGGTATTAGTTAAACTACAACTGTTATTATTATTAGATTATTACTATTTGTATTATGGTCAGTCGTTCAACGTTTATAAAACACTTTTAATCGGTGAACAAATATTATAAATATTATAAACCTATTTTTGTTGCTTGTGACCACTCGGTGTTTGATATGTGACCATATCATAAGTGGGTAAAGTCCAAAATGCTTACAAACACATTAGGTATATTCTAATACAAACGTATCAAGTCTTAAAATACTGACATTTATCAGATATTCTGTTCAAATAACACTACTACTACTACTACTGTTTGTATTGCAATGATATTACACATGCTCAAACTATTATTACAATAAATTATGCCTAAAGTTAAATGTCTGTTTGATTTATCAAGAATAGAAATGTTAAAATTCTCAAACGTAATTTTTGAAATTGTTTTAATTTCGTACAAAATGTAAAAAGAAAATAATTACGAGGACACAACACGATCGTAATTTTTTATGTAAAACTGTCCATACGTTTAAATGGTTCTTTTTGTAAGTTATACATACATTGTAATTTTACTGAAAATAATATTTTTAATTGTTTTTTTTTAAGTGCTTTTAAATTCTTCAAATTCTACGACCACTACGGGCAAAATAAAATAGTGAGCAATATAGTATGACAAATATTAAAAACATTGCAAATAGCCACTATACTATGACAGTCTGTTATTTAAAACATAAAATAATGATAAGTAGATTTATAATTTGCAAACAAGATTCCTTTACTCTTTTTTCAAAATAATTCTACAGTCAATCATCATACTTTTATTTTATATCGATATTGTTACACTACGCAGTGTGATCAATTTAACGTACTAAACTCATTGCTCGGAGAATATTTGCAGTTCAGTAGTTATTCATTTCGAAAATGGTCAGAAGTATTATAAAATTACTAATTGGTAAATTACATTTTGACTGTTTGAGTTTTGAATAGTTACTTTTATAGTTATTTACATTTAAAATTTAGGACTAGAGGCGTAGTGCGGGTAGCATAATATGCACAGATAAAAATACTACACTTTACTTTTCGTCTAGTACTAAATTTTAAACTTTAATTACACTAAAAATAATTATCCTTAACTGGTTATCAAACAGTCAAAATGTTGATCAAATTATTTTTCATTTCTAAAGTAAATTAAATATAAATACCCACATTATTATATAAATATTATCTAATATTGTAAAATAACATTAACTTAAGTGTCTCTAAAAAGAAAAACTAAAAAATTGCAATTATTTCAAGATAAATGATGTTCTTACATTAAATTAACACGTCATTAACATCTTAAAATACACTATAAATTAGAAGACGAGTTATGTTTATTACCCTGGTACTTCACCGCTTGATGTGTTCATGACCATGGACGACGGGATGATTCTTATTTCGGACAGTTGTACGGGATAATCAAAACGCATCACATCATAGCATATTTCCTAGATGGAAGAAGTAAACCAACATTAGAACAATAACTTTGTACACCGAATCGTAACGAACAAATTATTCAAATGCCTTGACATGTGAACGGGGGCAAACCCAATTCACCAACGTCCATAAGTACAGGCGATGATGAAATCGAGTTTGGTCGTACTTACGTTGGATCTGGGAAAGGCGTGCGAAAACGTTTCGAACGTTATGAGATCAAGCGTTTCTTGAGCCGAGCTCATTGTGTCGGTTGGCAGTGTGAACCGTACGTGTGTGTAGGTACCTAGGGTATATGTCGGCGGTTGGGAAGCGAGACGATTAGGTACCCGGACAGGTATAACGTTACGGCTGTCGTTAATTTATTCAATGTGGACTGACTGCTACTCTGGTGAAACTCCACGGCCGATCAGTGCAGATCTGTGATACGGTGCGCGAACGACGAGACACTGTCATAACAGTCGGCGGAAACGAGTGGATTGTGTTTTTGGTGTCTGCGATGGAACTGGTGCTGAACAACAACAGGCAGAGCATTTTCCGACGGCTAGAAGGGGAAGAAAAATGCACATAGATCGGAAACCCAGAGGTGCATCGTCTCCGTCGCACACGGTACACCTATGTATGTGGTCGCCTGCGTTACAATTATCTATGGGCGAATAATAAAAATAAAAATAAAAATAATAATAACAACAATAAAATGTACAACATATAATAATAACCGTATATTATTATTAATTGCGCATGAAGGCCGTCGTTATCAGCATCAGCAGCAGTAACTTCATCAGGTGTTTAGAGTGTGATTATAATATTGTGGTGATAACCATGTTATCTATGGTGTAAACCATATTGTTATCTACGGTAACAACCATGTTATCTATGGTGATAACCTGAATGAACCGAAGCTCGGGCTACCAGTGATAACGCGGAGGTAAAATCTCCAGCAGTAGCTGCAGCTGCTTGTGTATTTACATTTTACTATTTATCTTTTTTTTTTTTAATACCGTTGTATGTAATAGCATCGTCTTTTGTAGGCGGCCTAGGCATTACGTAGCCACCGTAGAGCGTGTACAATTCTTTACGGAACACGTCATACTTTCGAGACAACCGCCATTCGCACTGTATTGAAAACGTTCTGTAAACAATTGACTTTCTGGTTGATGCTCTACTTCCATGGCGTTCAATGGTGATTTACCATTTTGACTGTATCGTCGTGTCTTTCTCCAAGTCTTAACCGACATTATAAACGTACCTACATATTGTTTATTCCGGACAAAAGTCGTTTGTCGACCCATTTTTTTCCAAACTCCAAACATGAAAGGTAAGAGCACGTCTTTTGTCTTGCTGGTGATCGTCGAACAGATGTTGGGCGCCGTGCTATTTGCGGGTCATCTGGCCGATGCTCAAGAAATCGAAGAGAACCTAAGTGCGCACCGAAAATCCATTGCCGAACACGATCACCGATCGGACTTTCCTCACGCCGGATTCATACGTAAGTACAATTATTGTACACCGTGTTAGCGCTATCGCTCGTTTTAGGTGTTTTTACTTCTATAAATTCCAACCCATGTAATTAATCCAATAATGACAACATCAACATGTTTGCATTGATTAAAAGTTACATTATTACAAAACGCAAATCAAGCAGTCTTATTATTTGTTACTGTTATGCTGTACACGATATAAGTACAATAATTTTGAGATGTAATCCCCCAAGTGTTTGAGTGTGCACACTTGCATTAATTATTTGGTTTATCCTTACTGTATATAAAATCGTATCACATTATTACCATATGAAAATAAATGACTGTATACTATAATATTATCATGTTAATTTAGTATTTTAATAGTAATGTTACAATAAAAATATTAAGGTGGCCGAGTGGGTAAGGCATCTGTGTGTTTGACGCTCATTGTTACTTGGTATAACACTCCGTCACGGTCATTCCATTTGCAGGGCGAGAAATCGTCTGATGAAAGAGCCTAGATTTAGACTGGATCTAAAAAATGAGGTTATATCATTTACTTTTTTCTAAAAAATCTGTAATTGACATTTTTTTTTAGGAAAAAAAATTAAAAGGGAAAATTACATTTTAACCGTAGTAAATTTCTGATCAACTCTACTCGTACCTACCCTTATACTAAAAGTACAATTAAAAAAAAATTGTACATTGCTTTTATCAACATTTGTATTTCTACCATCTACAGATTCACATTGAAGTATTTATTTAAAAGTAATTTTACCGGTTTCGGTTACAATAATTTCTGTAGACGTGTTAAGATAAAAATAATGGATTTTTGGTTCCTATGACTTGATTAAAAATTAAATAACAAGCATTTTTTCCATTATCGATATCTCGACTTTTTTAAAATATAATATTACATACCTGTTGTTAATATTATTTCGATCAACTTAAAAATGTTGTCCACTTACAATTTTTATTTATTTTAGGCAGTGAAAAAGAATTGGAAGAGATTCAAAACTTACCACCGGATGAAGCAAAAGACAAGCTCAGAATAATTCTCGTGGAAATTGATTTAGATCTAAACGGAGAGATAAGCAAGAAAGAGTTGTCAACAAGATTATTGGAAACGTACAGGTGAGTTTTACTTTAGTTTAGTTTTTGTCAAACAAATTAAAACAATAACTACTTGTGACATTTACATTTCTTAGGAGTTTGTCCAACGAAGAGGCTGACTCAGAGTTTGATGACAGCGATTTGGACAACGATGGCTTCATTACTTGGAAAGAATATGTTACCGACACCTACGCTCTAAATGAAGACGATATTTCCATTTCTGAAGAAGAAGAAGATGATGTAAATATTATTTTAACCACCATCCGATCACTAGTTTTATTCTAATCATTGGTAAATTCACTTACAGGTGGCTGCAGATGAGAAAGCCATCTTTAACGCTGCTGATACTGACGGTGACCTTAAACTTTCTAAAGTAGAATTTCGCAGTTTCTACACTCCCGAAGATTACCCACACATGGTACCGTTAATTGTCAAAGATGTGCTCAACGAAGTCGATCTTGACAATGACGGAAAAGTAACGTTAGACGAGTTTCTCAAAAACAAAGGTTGATATTTAATATTGTCAATTGTTTTTTCAATGTTACCAATTATCTTCTGAAATGGAAATTTATGTGTTGTTGTTTAGGTCACGATGGCAGCGATACGGATAAAGAGTGGGTACAAGCAGAAAAGATCAAATTCCATCGTGACTACGATAGCAACAGTGACGGAGTGTTGGAAGGAGAAGAAATTATTTCTTGGTTGTTACCAAACAACAAGTGAGTTTTTCTGGCTGGACTATTAATATCGGATTGATGTACTATTCATAATTGGTGTTAAATTTTGATTCAGTAATAATTATGGACTTTGTTTAGAAATCTGAATCAATGACTTATGAAGACTGGTTGAATTTATTTTGAAATCAAAAATTATTTTTACTAATGGTGGTTTTTATTGTTGTTTTTTTAGCATGTTATCCATGTCTGAAGCCGAAGACCTGATTTCAAAATACGACCAAAACGACGACGGCCAGTTGAGTTTCAAAGAAATATTAGACAACTATAAAGAATTTGTTTTGTCGACCAACAACTATTCTCATCTCGACTATAAAGACGAGTTATAATTCTCATACTTTCAAAAGTATTCATGTTTTGCCATTATTCAGTTATTGTATAATTTATTATTGCTATTACATTAAGTAATGTAGTTTAGTAAAATGTGTAATTTAACACTTGCTTTTCATTAAACTTTCTCGTCCTTATCGATTAAACAACAGACAAGCAGTATTGTAATATATCAATTTAAATTTAGGACTCTGTAATAGGGAAAATTGATTTCCTATTTTAACAATGTATTCTACTGACTGTATTAAGTGAAAACATTCAGACAGCATTCACTTTTTAACATGACTGTTTTATTTTGCCTTTGTATATTTCTTTGAATATATCGCCCTTATCGCCACGCGCCGATAGTGTGTTGACCAAAAATTATTATCATTTTTTTTATAATATTTATTTGTAATTTATTATGTCCACCATTGGATTTAAGACTGCCGTACAATCATTGTTAGTAACAACAACAATTTCTGAGACTATTTTGTAACTGAAATAGTAAATGTAAACTGAATTTTGTAATTATTAAAATTTTTTTTTGTGACCAAAAATAATTTCAGTCATTACTGTTTTTTTTTTGTATTTTAATCAAAAGCTGTTGACTAAATATTATCATATTATACTATAATAATACATTTATATATGTATTATAACAAACTACCTATTGTCATGATTATCTTTATCGTCCCACATGTGTAAATAATAATAATTATTAATATTTGTATTTATTTATAATAATAATATGCATTTATTAAATAATACATTTTAAGTTGTACACATTTAATGTAATACTGTTAAAGTAGTCATTTTCACGCAATTGCAGGATTGCATTTAACCTAATTGACAATAGTATTCTGTGTCGTAACATTAACGTTAGGCACACAATTGAACCAAACATATTTTACTTAATGTTGTGATACTGTGTAATTTTATGTTGATTTGTATCTGTAACAAAATTACCGTCGCGGCTACCTGTTAATTTTAATTATGTGTTTTGAGACTAAAGAAATGCCATTATGTAGAATTCCTATAGTATTTAACTATCTACCTATTAAACATTGTAATGGTTCCTCTTAAGATTAATAATTGTTATCAATTTTGTATTAATCGTCCTGTGTGCGTCTAATCATTATTTTACAATTTATCGTACCCATAACTTGTTTGTTTCTGTGCTATATTATAAAGATATATGATTGTAGTTTTGTGTTTGTCAAATAAAAATGTGTTCTTGTAAGAATACCGTCAATATTTACATTTGTATTACCTGTTTCTTATTTCTATGCAGCGCTGCAACTACCGCAAGTGTAGGCAATACATTAAACCACCAGATCACGGGCCCGGGCCTCGTGTAGGGTCTTTGTATTTGTTTACCTAACACCTAACTAAACAAAACGTTCATAATTTATAATAGAAGTTTTGACGGTTTAAAAATTGTTCAGTCGTGTCTTGGTGTAGTTGAACCTACCACTGATTAAATATAATATATAGATAGGTAGTACATGGATATATATGAAATATGGCAAGCTTTAAAAATAAGTAATAACGAAATAAACACAATGAATACATGATTAATCGTTGGTAAGGGTTAGCGTCCAAATTTGGGTTGTCAACCAAGTATATGACATGATCAGTATGCTTATTTAAGTGTTCAATAACTGATAAATTAAATTTTGTAAACAGCGATTGACAATAGAGCGAAATAGTATTATTGTTTTTAGCACACACCTAAATCTCTCGTTGAGTTGTAGGGAAAAATTTGAATTGAGCTACTTTTGCAATAAAACATATGAAATTGTCAATTTTTATCAGATAGTCTTACTAAAACATATTCATACAATTCTTGGAAAAAATACAATATCTCATATTACTCCATAATAATACCTGAAACTTATAATATCAAATTGATTGTTGAAAAATAAATTTGTCTTTTTTAAAGAAAGACGTTATACTTATTTGAACACATAAAAGAAATTAAGAAATTTTCAGGGAATAAAGATTGTATCCTTTTTTAAAAAAAGTAAAACAAGTGAATTTATCCTTTTGATCAGATCAGTAATTTAATTGTAGCTATTGTGCACCTTGTATTGTAGTTAAATAATCAATCCTACTAGGAAACCACAAGTTCAAGTAATAAGTAAATAATGAAATAATTGAGTAGGTATTTTAGTCCTTAAAAATGCAAATAACCTTAAAAACGTGTTAATGCCTAAAATCACATTTGTATATGTATAATGTGTAGGTAGGTATAGACTGTGTTGTAATAAAATACTATTGAAAATAATTTAACATACTGCACAAACACTAAAATAAAATGAATTAAAAATACTACTTCTTCTTTTAAATGTACTATTACCCAACTACATTGTGTGTAATACTCAAATACTAATCTAAAAAAAATCAGTATAATTATGTTATTTAAAGTACTTTTATTTGATAATTTCAAATAAATGTATTAAAAACCTGATTCGATACTGATAAATCGCACAAACAAATAGAAATACTCCACAACATTGCGGGCTTATTTTAGCCCGACATGTAAGACACTCATTTTCTCAAGAAAATAACTACAATTTTCATGTTTTAATTTTCCAAAAAATGTTTTACCTTGTCTCGTAGGTATAATAGTATGAAATTACCAAATATTATGTACTTTTTGTAGTATTTTCCAAGCACATAATGTTATTAATTTTAAACGAAAAATGTATATAATATAATTTGATTAACTGTTTTCAAAGAAGAATAACGATTTGCTAAACATTAGACTGGTCGATAACCAGTTTTGAATAATTATTGCTTCTAGAGATGTTATCCGAGTTTTGAATTTCAATACAGACTTTGTCAAATTCGAAATAAGTCGATTTGACATTTACTCGAGGCCGTCTCGAAATCCTCTTATAATAATTCCAATGCACTACTATAATATATTAATGAGATGATTTTCAGTGAAAGGTGACCTCGCTAAAGAAGTGCAGTGTTCGCATAATGATAATAATTATACGATAGATAGGCAAGTTGGTGACTTGAGTTAACAAAAGACAACTGCGGTCATAAAAGTCATAAAGGTTAATAAAATAAATCGAGACTTTTTTTTTTCATAGAAAATATGACATTTATACCATCACAAATGCAAGTGTATGTATAAAAGTGCATAAGCATATCATACTGCGGTTTGCAAGATAATAACATTTCAGTTTTTCCGGTAAAAGACAAACGCCCATTGTTCGCCTAGCCTTTTGTATGTCCACCTTTTGTAAGGTATTCTATATCGGATAATCCCCTTAAGACATTTGGCTAAGTAAAGGTACGGTGACCAGATATAAAAATCCCAAAAAAGTACATACTAAAATTTAGCTCTTCCTCTATTATAATAATTGGTCAATGTGTGCTCTACTTATTTTGCCCAACAATGCATGAAAAAAGAGTTCTGTCCTACGAAAAAGAGTACCCAAGTCTGGTCACCATAAGTATAGGTATTATTTTTTTTTTTTGAGTTGCGTCACTGTGTAGGTCAATGAAATTGTTTGGGTAATAATCCCGTTTTGTATTCATACGAGAGTAAAAGCAAGGCGAAATCGTCAAAAAAACTAGTTATAGTCGTAAAAAAATGTACAGGTATAAATAAATGTCTAATAAAATATCATGATGCGTTTACTTGTAATATTCATAACATATTATTATAACAGTTAAGGGGCTCTACGTTAGCATTTATTAAGGCGCATTGTATAAGCAATTGTTCAATAAAACTTAAACGTAAAGCTAACATTTTTAAACATACATATATGTATATATTACCATAAGAAGAAGGATTTATTTTAATACTTAATTTTTTTTTCTTAAATTTTTACAACGCACGTAGGATCTCTTTTTGTACAAACATAATATATAGGACATAATGATAAGGTTCTACTTTAAACAGAACTTAGGGTTAAGGGAAGATATTTCTTTAAATATGATAGCTAACATTTAGATAAGCACATAATTTGGTAACTGTTGTTACCAAAACCTAATACCAGATGTTTCAAAACGGTAAACATGTTGTTCCCCTCCAAAAAAAAATTATCTATTTTGTTATAACAATTGATGTAACATTTTTCCAAATTGAAAATCATCTCAAGGTAAGAATTTAAAATTTTTTCCTATATAGAATGTTTCAATTTTATTAAAATACTTACAAGGATTAAAGCTATATATGCACATAATCTACCTAAATATTATAGCTTTTAAGTAAATACATGTATTTTAAAAAAAGACTGATAATATCAACCAAAAACGATGGGGTAAATGGTAATGGCGGTCATTTGCAATTTTTTTAAAAAATATATTTAATTTAATTTTAAAAATCATATACATAATACCTAACAAGTTTATCGTTCGACTTCAAGAAGTAACGAAATTTCTGAACATTTAGTTCCAAAGATATTTCAATTCCCGTTTCCTCACCTTTCCCTATACCTAAGAACTACTTTGGTTTAAGTTTTGAAAAAAACATTTGAATTCTTCGTGAAATGTTCAAGGCATCCATCGTAGCACAATTTAAAAATTATTTTTAGTTAATTAATTATTTGAATGTAAAAAACTGCATTTTTGTGTAAGTTCTGGTTTTAAGTAGGATGAGTTGTTTTTTGACTGAAAATCAGGCCCCTTAACGGTGGCGGCTGTCCATATACACAGCAAAGGTCTCGAATAATACCTTCAAAATAGGGGAGGTAGAGTGGTATCTTATAACGATATTTTCTTATAAAAAAAAACGGTGCTCGATAAGGAGTGGTCCCATATTATAATGTCAGTCGAGTAAGGGGAGTTTGGAGGGTATATAGAATTAAGAAAAGCCTCAAAAATATAAAGGAAAAACACCCGTCGATTCTTAGAAAAAAAAAATGTTTGTAACATTATTTATACCATATGTGCATGCTAGAATTTTAATATAAATACATATATAGTTCCATAATAAAATATGTCCTTATGGCTTATACATCCCTGACATTTCTGAGTCCTTGTTAGTTGTTTATTTTGGTATATTTGAAACGTTCAATCTACACCTTATAAATTAAATAAATCGAAACAAATGGAAATGTTTGAAAACGAATATTTTTATTGTAATTGCTAAACATATGTAACACTGCTGTAAATACTTTACATTAATACAATTTTTTATACCTAATACTTGGCCATTATTGACCTCAATTTACATTAATCACTTAAACTACAAAAAATTTTTTTGCTAGTATAATGTATGTCTTTGTTAACGGTTAGACCTTTCTTCGCAAATTAAAATAAAATTCAAGTTGAGTTTTCAATGAGTTATTCCTTCTAAAACTGATTTCGGAACAATTTCAGGAACAGTAAAAATAATACACTTAAAAGAAAATTATGTTTAATTCGTTATTTTACAAGGGTTGACCCTACGAGGAAGTTAACTTGTAAGTTAATTCTAGTGTACACTGTAAGGATATTATTGTTAAAAAATCCTCAATGAAATGCGGTACGTTTTGATACTTATGGATAAGACATTCTATTGGAAATAGCGTTTCGGACGACATACATCTGTATTTTCAGATTATAAAAATTAAAATATAACAATAAAAATAAAATATATACATATTATGTAGTGTAAGGCAAGGCTTATGCGGTTAGACAGGATCATTTTTTAAGATTTGTTGTTTGGTCACCAGATTGAACCGAATTATTATTAAATCGGCCTGATATTTTAAAAATAACATTTAAATATTTAATGCTTTAGTCGGGTGACATCTCTGGATGTCTTTCCTTCTCTGCCTTTCACGTTTTGTACATAAAATTGATTTATTGTATCTAATCGTGTAAATATTAATTAAATATACATATATATATATATTTATACAGGGTGATCAACTTATTGTGTGAACCACTCAATATCTCATAAGATTTAATAAGAAATTTAATTTTTTTTTCATACTGTTTTTATAAAATGTGATCTAAATTTTACATTTTGTTTTTTGTTTACACCTCCCTCCCAACTTAGTTTTTTTGATAGCAACTTTTGGAACTTAAATGCAAACGCATACCTACATTTCATTAACTGAACTGTACTAAACATTTTGACTGGTCGATAACCAGTTTTGGACAACTATTTTTAAAGTTATGAGAGTTAAAAAGTTAGGATGGGAGGGGAAGTGCACGCAAATAAAAATAATACCTACTCACTGTACGTTGGATGGAAAGAAAACAATTGGGGAAAATTGAGATAAAAAAAATACTTTCTTATTAAACCCTATGAGACATTGAATGGTACGCCATAAAATGATCACCCTATATATATATATATTTAAAAATACATCAGATTAATGCGATTTAGTATTAATTATGGTTCGTGGATTAAAATAAATACCATATTATACGAATATGTATGTTTGATTAATATTGTACTGCCTATTTACTTATAAATAACACATTACGTAATACATAAATTTAAACGGGTTTTCTGAAAAATCATGTTTTTTGTTTTAGTTATGCCGTTGTCGAGGCAAACACAATCTATAATGTAATTAGTGTAGGTATACATTTTTATACCTAACGACATCATAATAATACAGCTGAACTCAATAAATAATTAATTAACATAATATTATGAAACTGGTAATTATAGTTAATTGGGTTTTCCGAGAACCGTATTGGCACTTGTACAATTAATGTTATGGCGCGACAGGAATTCACTTTCAGTACAACATTAACAACATATTATTATTTTCTTTTTATGGGCAGTAATTTCTTAATAAAATGTCTACTACTAAGTGATGAGATTATGAATTTTCATTTGATTTTTGAATTGGAATACCGTTATAAGTAGTTGTCAAAATTAGGATACTTTGGTTGGTCCCATTACTGAATAGATTTGATTTAAAAAATTCAATTTTATTAATTAAATTTGAAAATGGTTCACAATTAAATCGCAACAGTTTTTTTTTACAACAAAACAAAACAACCGTTACCAACATTAAACCTAGATGAGTAACCAATGAACTTGTACATCTTTTAAGAACTGAAAACGGACCATCTTAAGTAGACAATATTTCGTGGGGTATTTTGGTGGTTCGTCAAAACACTTTCAAACACAAAACATAAGCCTTGAAGGTTATCTGCCATCGGTTGTTAAAATTGTGTGAGAATTTTGAATGAACAAAGCTCATCGAGCCATTCCCCCGCCATTTGCGCCAATGACTGATGAGTACTTAATTTATCACTCTTCCAGTCATGAGTGTTATTTGCAATTATATATAATAATAGGTACATAATTACACAAGGCCGTTGACTATAATAATATAAAAGCCTTTGTTCTAAAACAGTAGTCTAGTGTCTAGTCAAAATTCGGCCGATTAAAACACTTTTCAGCTGGCCTGAATGCTGTTGTTTTGTAATAGAAATTACAAAGTTTGTCCATAAAAGTGAATAAGCATAATAATTTTTTAACACTTTTTTTTTCCAAACTCATATTGCTATTCTGGAACGTCTTACTGTCTGTCGTCCAGTGTCGCTTATGATACAACTTTAAATTCAATCATCATGATGACTTAACAACTTAAACTACACATTTCATACCAAAAGGACGTCAGTCAGTTGACACGGAGAGACATTTGGCTTTAATATTTGTAATAGGTACCAAAAGTATTTTTTTTATGCATATTAATTTAGTTTGTTCGGATGGGGTAACAAAAATAACTAGTTTCTCTGGATATTCGCGAGCAAAACCACAACTGGTATATTCTATACTGTGATATTCGATTAATAGGTATTATTATTATTGTCAGTAAGGACGGCACGGCTAACAATAAAATAGTATAATATAATTAACTCATTAATCACTTCCAAGGTCGGATTCCCTTTCTTTTGCCCGGACGACGGTACTACACTCTTCTATTGGTGTACCAATCTCAAACTAAATAAATATATGTTATATACATGAACAATAAATTTAACGGCAAGATACTTGCATACTTATACTTACCTACAATCATACCGGTCAATATAATACTATAACCGTTGGTCGCACACCGTTTAGTATTCGACCAGTCACCGCGTGCTTCACTTGTGCTTGTAAACTTCTCATCTCGTCCATATATTATTCGCACACAATAGCAGGTAACAAAGACAAAGCGATACATCCATTTATAATCGTTTGTATTATAATATTATAGTTATTATTATTTATTGATAACAATATTAGTTGTTTTTAATTGATTTGATTTGTTTTTATTTTAAAAAGATATAAATTGAGCAAAATATATTGTTATTCTTTAATCAAATTCAAATTTAACGTGTGAATAAAATAAGGTGAAAATATAATTTTTTCTTCAATATAATTCTAGCTGATTACATTTAAAGTTTCGAGTTATAAATATATATATATTATTTTTAGTTAACCGAAATTTGTATTTATTTAAACCCGTAAATTAAACGAATTATATTTCCTAACTCGTCAAAAAAAAAACCAATTTGGTTTACGTATAAAAATCAATACCTACATATATAAAATATATTAATTATATTTTTAAATACAACGCAAGCAGTTTCGGATTAGCCATCTCGACTTAAACGCTATATTAATGTTTAGTATTACTGTTAGAAATCAAAATGTAGGCACCACCATTTGGTCTTAGGCGATGCTGAGTAACTGTAATTAAATAAGGCATGTGCAATAACCATCAATAACCATTTAAAAATTATATATATATATATATATAATATATATATGTATATATTTTACACTTAAATATCGGCTGGTCAAAATCGTTATTATTAAATGTAATAATATATAATTAATTCTTTGACAAATTTACCGGATGCGCTTGTCCCGTTAAATTACAGTTATGGCGCTAAACCTGAAGTCTGGTTTATACCATGTTTTCGTTGGTATACCAGAGTGAGTGGCGGGTTTAATTATTGTAAACATGCGCTTTATACCAACAACCAATGCGGAAGCGTTGATGTCGCTCTGGAATTCCCAGTCCCAAACGGAGACGGCGGTGTCTCCGACCATCCCTTAAGGTCTTACTCTTAAAAAAATGTGTTCTTTTTTCTTTGGCAGCCATGACGACGGTTCACAGTGCAAAGGCCGCCTTGTTGCTGGTGTCTCTGGGCGCGTTCGCCTACCAGATGACCACGGTCCAGGGGTACGCCAAGGGGGCGCCGACGGAAGTGTGCGAAGACATGACTCCCCAGCACGGCGTCGGCCCGAAGACCACGCCGTCGCCTTACACGCTGTCGGTCAACCAAAAGTCCGTCAAGCCCGGCGGCAACCTGGTGTTGTCGCTGTCCGCCAAGGATGGCACCAAGTTCAAGGGTTTCATGATGCAAGCCCGCGACGAGGTCACGCACAACCCCATCGGCACGTTCATGCCGGTGCCCACCGCCACGGGACTCAAAGAGTTCAAGAACAAAGTGCTGGCCCTGCATTGCTCCAAGGGTGCGGGAGGAAACGTGAGTGAACTTAACTATTTTTTTTTTGTTTTTTACTGACGCAATCATTGGCTAGGAATGTCCAAATACTTTTAACCCTAAACATGGCGGTGTATATCTTTAAAGATACACAAAACTGAAATAAATATTCCAGTGACTGATTTTCAACACATTTGATTTACAGTTTAAGACCTGAATATCAGCTGTTAAAATCAGAGCATGTATGTCTAAATATTTTAATAATATTGAAATAAAGTCAATCACTTATTTAGTTATTGAAGTATAAAAACTCATGTATCCTAAAAGACACTATGCTTCGTACGCCAGAATTATTGTTTGTATCCAAAAAGATACATCACCTTATACCCCCGTTTCAGTTATTGAATCTAAAAAGATACATTGCCCTAATAGTAAAAAACTTAACATTTTATAAAAATAATAAATAATTAGATATATTTTAATTGTTTTGCTCTAATAGGTATTTTTTATTTTATTACGGTGTATAAAATACCAATTTTTCAATGTGGGTGCATTATTAGCTTATTTTTTTTTTAAGAAATGTTCTTAAAATAGTTTTTCTTAATTATTACAAAAAAACATACTTATATATATTTTAAAGATTAATACCTATTCTACGTAAATCATAAAATACTATTTAAAATTGTTTTTTTTTTTTATCTTAATAGATCTACGAGGTAGTGTACCTTTAAAGATACACATATAAAATTAGCTCAACGTGGCAGTGTATCTTTAAAGATACAACTATTGAATTAGTCATATGGGGTGGTGTATCTTTAAAGAAACACACTATAAATAAAAAACTTGACTTGTTCAAGCTCAAAAAAAAATATCAGCAACTGATCAGGCATAGCCCCCAAGTAAAGTTTATAATTTTTTTTTTTTGAAATTCTGAGTGAGCTTCCAGAGTTTTTTTTAAATGGACTTAACTTCCTTGCCCCCCCCCCCCTAGTTTCGCCAATGTTCATAGTTGAACGCAATAATTATACAAAAAGAGCTTTATGTTTCCCATTTCGAATCCAAAATTAGATGTTCATCATTTTTTCTTCTTGTTGACATCTCCTCAAAGCACTGATGTACGTTAACGCGGCCTTTATGGCGTTACTAGAACCGATAAAAAAATATATTATATACCTAACATAAGTATTGAATTTGAAAAAAAAATCTATTGCAACATACAAAACAGGTTTTCTTTGTTTTCTGAAAGCTTAAGTCATGGACTAAGACACTTTTTACATTAATCGATTCAATCATAACCCGGCATATTCGAGTCATATCCATTTTATTCCCATGCTCCCCCCAAGTATTTTTTTCAAACTTAAACATTTATACACTAATATAATATGACCAAAGTAAATTAACATGTAATGAAATTATTGTACATTCTGTTACATTGATTATTAATTTGGCGATACGTTATATACAATAGTGTTTATAGGGTATCGTATTCTATCCTATTTTATATTATACTCATGTTTACTATTTGTATCAGGTTGTTTTTTTTATCTTTAATATTTTTATACGGTTTTCTTAAAGACCCACAACCGCCCCCCGAACTCATTTTTTTTTTGCCTTTTATGTACCGGCTTATTTATTTGTTTTTATTTTATTTTCACAGAACACCATCACTCATAACAATCCCACGGAAAAAGGCAGACTCGTGATGGCGTGGCATGCGCCGGCTGATTTGAAAAACAGCTTTAAATTCAGGTAAGAACGACTAGAACGGCTACAACAGCACGTTATGCTTATACCAGTGTTGTTAGTGTGCAATTCATACTTCATAGGGAATCACTTTACTGACTGGCGATGAACAACTTAGCTAACTAGACTTAAGTCGAATACGTCCATTCATAGCCATTGGCCGAGGACAATGGATAAAAATGGAAAACGATTCTAAAAAAAATTGTTATTTTTCGCTTTCTCTCTCTCTTACAACTATGTTAGATTTCCGCCGTTCAACTAATATCGTTTATACTGTTTTTTCTCGGTTGAATCGAATTCGACCTTGTTGTACCGGTCAGGTGTCCATCGCCAAATAGGTTTTTTGAGATTTTTCTAAGCAACCTACCTACATACTTATATAGTTAAAAAAAAATTGGTCAAACGGTATTTTGAATACTATGACAACATATAATAATCAAAACATCTGGAAACGGTTAGGTTAGGTCCGTGTCGTGTTTGGTTCTTTATAATATTATTACAGTATGATTATAGTAATATATTATATTGTATACGGTGTTAATTTTATTCCTCTGGTGACACACATATCATGATACGGTCATTTGCATTTTACTTGCGTAACCCGTGTCGTCCCTCACCCGGCATACCCGGTTTTAGGACTATCTACTATTATAATGTTCTTTTAGATGTGCCAATGACAAGTATTAAGTATACCTATGTGTGTACACATATAACATACGCTTTTGAAACGATCCGCTTGAGTAGGTATAGGTATATATACGTTCAACTACAATAATAATTAATGGCTGCTATAACTATAGTGAGCACACACAATATTGTGTCGCAAGATATGCTGCGCTTGAGACACACATAGGTCTTTGGCCTACCGACAACGACCGTACCGGAAAAACAGGATTTTGACCGTTTTGGATTAGTAGTAACATTGCCCACAAAAATCCAATACCATTAAAGTATATAATTTTTGCCGAAATTTGGACTAGACCCGTTTTGACTGACCGCCTGGGTACGAATAACACAATAGATAATATTATTTGTTCGTTAAATAATGATGATTGTCAGTATTGTAACTTTTCAAATTCTGTGGTCAGTTTAAGTTAGGCCCACTTGTATAATGTGGAGTAATTCTCAAAAGGATAATATTATCATCCCCGTACTGTATAAACATTTTAAAATTTGAATACTTTTTTTGGCTTCGATGCAATAGCGAAGAAGATACTGGTTTTATAATGATGTTTTTTTTAAACTGTCATTTTACTTAATTGGGATACTTGTGTAAGCAAATGAGGTAAAAGTAATCACAATTGAAAAAAAAAAACGATAATTTTTAGTTGTAATTGAAAGATATTTATTAGGTATGTTAACGTAGGTATTAACTTAATGAAACTAGAAAATTGGTTTTTCTTTGTTAATTGCTGCGTTTGCATAGCTTGTCTCGTTCGTTGACAATTACCCTACTTAGTATTAAGTTGACCTTACTTGTTGCCAAATAATAGCCGTTGAAAACAAAATGAGTTTAACAAAGTATATTATGTAAAATAATGCCCGAATGAAAAATATGTTAATTTCGAGTATTTTGAATTTAAAGACCTTGTTTTGCCAATTTTTCTTGCCACTAAAAATTAATACATTTACTTATACAACAAGATGCTTTTTTACATTTTTTTAACGTTTTCTTTTTTAATTTATCGCAAGTAAATCAACAAAGAGACAATTTTGGTTCCCATTGTAGTTTAGTAAGCTAACAATCATTTTATGACGATGTGGGAACGAAGAAGGTGAAATTGATGTGAATTGCTAAGTATTGAGCAGAATTTAAAAGTATTAAATCATTTTTTTTTTGTTATTCGTACAACTATTGAAACGTGAAAGTTACACCCTTGACAGTGCGTTTGCCTTGGTTGGCCGGGAAACGGATTTAGATATACAGCGTGAATATGAAAAAAAAATTATTCAATATTATTATTATTATTATTTAAAACCAGATATTTTTACCATTCCGTGTGGTCGCAGAAGCTTGCCGGAAGGCCGTCTTGAAATCAATTATCGTCAAATAACACATTTTCAGACAAGACAAATTAACCGGTTTTCTAAATAAAATAATAAAACAAATATTATATATGTAATTTTACGTACAACCCAGATAGAATTCATTTGTACATATTAAGGAAGTAAAACGATAATATGACAATCATGGTTGAATTACACAGGTTATTGTACATGGTGTCGAATTGTTTTCTTCAGAAATAAAATGGCAGAGGATATCAATTTTATTGTGTACTTTACTATTACTATATATTTTACTGTGTACTTATATACTTGGTTTGGTTGGCTAGCCTTTACGCTGACATGTTTGTTTTTATCATCGAATATTTGACGAAGAATGGGTAAATGTGCAATAACCTTGTATAGGTATTTCAATCATGATGACAATATAATTTGTTTTTGTCACAAGCTTGCTACCGTCTTGTGCAGGTAAACAGAACAAAAGTGTGTGCCTGACAAATTAATTTATGTTATACAGGTGTGTCGTGAAGACGTCGCAAATATTTTGTGCAAATAAATTATACCAACAACAGCTGTATTATGCGTGTACTAAAAATTGAATTTCACAAGTCATAACGCTGGTTTTTGACAGTAAATAAAAAACATCTGAAATGAAGTTTAGCCAAGCCCCAGACACTGATAAAAATTAACACGGGAAATGTACTTACCACACAAAAACGGGGCAGCCATCTTTTTAAGACTACACCACTATAATGTTGTATCTATAGATTATTATTATTTGATGTGTATAGATATAACATACAATGGTAAATAGGTCGTCACAAAATGGCCTTCCCGTTCTAAGCAGAAGGGATTCTTAGAGCTCATGAAAAAATCGATCAGACATAATATCATTGCCAGTGATGCCAGAACTTGTTTTTAAACTTTTCTATTTGATTCATGGCTACACTGTTCATTTATTAAACGTCGTTCACCGACAACAATGTCGCGTCGTCGCCATTTTCCGCGTTTGTAGAGTGCCAACAGTTTAGCCGGAACGAACGAATAAAATGAGAATTTCCCAACAACTACCAGCACTGTCCGTTTGTCGACCATTTTCAAGAGCCCATGTAAAGCAATAATTGTATAGCTGTTTCTTTTCTGTGGTTTCAACGATATTTCATATTTGTATTCTTATTTCTTTGTGATCGTCAGTAGGTTCTTTCGATAGATTTACGGTTTACCGCTTTATCGACTCGTCCGAGTACTGAAATTATGATAATTATTTAAATTGGTACATATTATAATAACACAACCGCAGTAGGTTCATCGCATGTAATCGGTTGTGCCGACCGACCCGAGTGTGTGTTTTGTCCAAGGTCAGTGCGTGCACAAACCGTGCTTAAGATGTATATCGGTTACACAAGTTAAACGGCAAACAAAGCACGATACTTTGGTGCGAAGACTTCCTACAAGCAGCTGCTCCGTGCGTGCAAACGAGTATTGTCTAGCCGCAGGCGACCGTGCACAAGTCAGAAAAATATTATTATTGTTTTTTTCTTATATATATAATAAGACCGTTTTCTTGTTGTATTTAAGACACACGATAATTGATAGATCGTTTAGCGTTTTCAAGGGCACGGCGTAAATCATAGATATCTACTATATTATTATTTATTATACATATAGGTAAACGAATCTGTGTGATGTATGACCGCGGCCATTGATCCATAATAATAATAATAATAGTCCAACTACAATATTCTCGCTTGAATAACGTTTGAGATGTATATACCTATATATATATATAATAAAAAAAATACCGCAGGATACAATATCCGGGTGTAAACTTACTTTTTGCAACTATTGTTTAGAGGAGCTGAAGAATTTAACGTCCACACGATCTAGCAGTTGTCTGGACGGCTATTAGGTACCACTGAAATTACTTTAGTTTCCTGTCCTGAAAATCAATTGGAAATTATTGTTTCAAACAACAACACTGTCCTTGGATTTTCCATTAGGTATTCTTGAACGCGCACAACCCAAACTAAAACATAGCAATAATTATGTTATTTAAATTTGTACAAAACAAAAGTTATCCGTAAACTCGTTTGGTTTTTTTAGTATCGATTAACTATTTCCATAAAGTGGTTTTGATTTAATTTCTCGACATAAATTATTATAACACAAAATAATTGTATAAATAATATTTAAATTGGGTTAATTAATTGCGCACCGCCGTTATTCAAAATACCGCCGTCCTTGATTGACAATTTTTTTATTTTATTTTTTTCTACACAACTAATGCAAATAGCAGACTTGTCGAGTTTTATTACAAAACACTATCATTTTTTAAAATTTTATTTTAAAACAGGTTAAGCATGTGTAATAGGTATACAAAACGGCATTATTTATTAGTCTCCATATTGGTTTTTTTATGATAGTAAATATTTATAATTCCCTCACGAAGCTAGCGAGTAAAGTTGTGTGCCATGTACAGAATTATTCATGTACAAAATTATAATATAATTTGTTCTAGAATTGCTAATATTATGATTTGTTGTGAAAATCTCAATGTGTTATTGCTTACAGGTACACGGTGGCCAAGAACGGTGGAGAATTTTGGGTGGGAGTCGAGTCCGGCATCATCACTGTAGACAAGTGATTCTTGAAGGAGAAGAAAACCGACCTCGCAGCCTAAGCACAGACACCACCCAGTGTGTACGGTATATTGTACGGTGTATAAAAAATAATATAGGAACTATACCTATATGTGTATATTATTAAGATACATATAATGTATATTTTTACTAAGAATAATATAATATATATATATAATATTATAGACGTTAGTTTAGTTGTTTAAGATAAAAGTATTAACTATTATATATTATTATGTTTAACGATACACAGAACGGATCTTTTTTTATTTTTATGTCACCTTTTATTCGCTAATCTTATATCTATGTATTTTGTGATACACAAAATAATCTGCACCCCGTTTCGAGTGTTTCAACCATGTTTTATTTTTAAACAATGTTCTCTGTTATTAAATCACCACCTACTTCTCCTGAGACCTGGTGGAGGTATATATCTTCTTTACAGGGCAAACACCGTTTGAATAACAACTAATAGTCGGTTTCTTGTGTGTAATAATAATAAAGTGTACAGACACACAGTTAGGTCAAGGAAATAGAAGAAAATGTATTGTTACATACGAAAATCATGTTATTCTGGAAAAACTTTAGACAAAGAAGAAACCAATTGCGAAAATGGTCCCACCGACTAAACAACAATCCTTTTGGGTAATTTATTCTTCTTTTTATTTCCAAGTCCACGACCGACAGTTTACTTACCACGAGTTTAATAATTAACATGTGTTATATGCAGGCCGACCATTCCAAGTTAGTGGGACAAGTTACTTAAGCACATTACACACTGTAGGATCGAAGGCTTCGTGTAAGTATTTCAATGTGATATAGTTGCAAGAGTTTTTTTTGTTTTATGCGATAATTGATCAACAAATAGGTATATGGGAATTGGGACGTGAAGTGCATAATAATAATTGCGATTCACAATAATTATTATTTGTTAAATTTTCATTGTTTCGACAACGACCGTAACGTGTTATTATCAATGTAATTGCAATTACCGCAATGTTTTCTCGAGGGTATTCCAGCAACCATTATTATTACTTATTATTATTGGTTGTGTGTTATTTTTGCGCCATGGACAAATTGTGTTTTTGTTACAATCAACATTTACAATACAAATATAACAGTCGGTAATATTACATATTGTAAAAGTTTAGGACTATAATATTAGAAACAAAAATAAAATTATATTCAATTATAATATTATCTTTATCCCTGACACGACATTAAACATACACCTATTGTTTACTTTTGTTAGTGTTTTATTCGAATTTGTCGGGCAAATTTAGTACAAGAAGAGAGTACAGTAATTTTTTTTTCTCATCATTGTCTTTATTATTTTCATTTACATTGTATTATTATTGTATAGAAAATCTTGGAAGGTGTAATATTAAATTACAACTAGGTACATTACTACTGTACCATCGATTGTAATTATATTTGTAATCGATTATTTAGTATTTAAAAAAATGTATGGTTTTCTCTAAATAAATACCCAACACAGTCAATAATGACACAATACAATCAATCATTTATAACAACATTTGTTGTAGTACTTATGTAACAAATTATGTAAATGTATAGCTTGTGGTAACGTTTTCAATTGCTGGTCTGAAGTACTAGAACAGTCTAAACCAAGTACAGTCTTTACCAACAAGGAGTTTTCTTTAATGTTATTTTATAGTAACTCTGAGCCAACTGACTACCATTAGTTTGGTTTGTTATATTTCACCTACTTTGTTAGTTATTAGACTGTTTTCTTATAAATTGTACAATTGTCTGGGAATCTGTTTTTATGTTGGGTAACGATATTGTCAGTTGCCTTGTTTTCTTTAAACTTTTTGTATACTTCTCAGCCAGATGATTCCATCACACTGTACGGATACCTTAATGATGTTGGTCATTTCTTACTGAGCTTGATTCAGACTCTGCTGGTTTAGATCTCTTAAATATTTACACCAAGCTATTATAATGTGGGACTAGGCGAATAAAACAATTTTAAAAAAACGGGTTACTCTTACAAATACTTTTATTTTTATCGTTATATATGTTTAATTCTAATTAATTGTTATCAGTATTTTTTTTTGTTTATACAATGTTTACACATGAAAAACGCGCTTTATTACATAATAAACACTTTCGGTGCTGCCTTACAAGTTTTGTTTTTACATTGTTTTTATTTTCTTCGTCTAATCTATTATCTTTGCTTCGTAATCAAACTTACGCTTATCGTTTAATAATATTAGACCTATATACTTATCGTTAAACTAACTTATTAATTATAATAATAATAATAATATAATATTATGACGTAATAGTACACTACTTGGATTTATAAATAATAAACTTATAGACTATACACTATTCCTACGAAGACTAAGAGTACAATATCAATAATAATCAATAGTGATTTTGTTTTGCATTTAAGTATAGTTACACGATTGGAAGGTTAAAAAAAAACCAAAAATTGTTTGGTTCATACAAAATAATACAAAATAATAGTAATTGGTACGACGGGTGACTAGACACTTATATATATTTTATTGTTAGCTATAAAATATAATACTGAAAAAAAATAATCAATAATAACCATGAAGACTAGTAGCCTATTTTAATTTTTGTATTATTACATAAAAAAAAAAAACAATAATTATGGAAAAACTTAAGACTGGAGACAAAGAAAAATGCCAATTGAAAATCGTCCCACCGACTAAACGACAATCCTTTTGGGTAATTTCGACAAAGTAATCCACGACTCGAGTACAATAATAATGTTACATTGTATACTAGAGAAGAACACAATAATAAAGCAATTTTGATTGTTAACTTTTACACAAAGTATCGACTTTGTGGTAAAAAAATCCTTTAAAAAAACAAATGGTCTCTCCCAAATATTGCTTACAAAATGTATTGTTAAAAGATTTTAAAAAGTTTCTTTAATGCTAAATGAAATTTTTTTAAAGTATTGAACTTGTTTGGCGACAAAAAAAACCAACCTACAACTGAAAACAACAACAATCGAATAGGTTTTTTTAAGAAAAACATAGTTTATTCTATCAAAACCAACATAATATGTGATGTCTTAAGTCGATCAATGACTATTTATTAAGTTGAGTTAAATCAAATCAAATATTTTTGTCGAATATTACCCAAAAAAGATACCTGCCGGGTTGTTTTCTTCGAGAATGTTTAGCAAAATCAAAAGATAAATTCATACAAAAGTCAATGAGCAGTTGCCAATTAATATACAAATACTAATACACAATAGATGTATTAATATCATATTTAATTGTATCGTTTTTTTAGAGATTAAGTACAGAACGGGGGCGCGGTTTTTTTGTTTTTCAAGTGGAATGTTTACAATTATTTTTGATCTAATAAAAACAATTAAAAATACAATATATTATAATATCTTACAGCTAATCAATCAATAGATATAATAGTTCATAGACTCGAATGAATCTGATTATTTAATAAAAATTTAAAAAAACGTGTCCTACCTTACTAAATGCACAATATACGACGATGCAATGATTGAAATCATTCAAATGCTAATTAATTTATTACTATTAATTATAATACTAATTTTAATCGGTGGGTGGGAGTGTTTGTGTGTGTGTACAATACTTAAAAAAAGTGATTTAACTAATTTGATCATTTTTCAGTGCATCTCAACATACAATTAGTATAGTACAGTAGTAATAATTACAATAATACCTATTTGATTAATAACAATATAGTAATAATAGTGTGGTTTTAATGCCGCCATTTTTTTTCTCGCAGAAACCGCCTTATATGAAAAATAATGCCTTATACATTTGTTTATAAATGTAAAAAAAAAAAAGTAAGACAATATAAATAAGAGTATATCTTAGTTAAAAAATAATAATAAATAATTGTAAACCTAATCGTATAATAATATTAGGTAGGTAGGTACATATATTATATAATATAAACTTATAAATACATTTTTGTTTTTTTTATATATATGAAAATGGAACATTGGGTTAAATATATTCTATAGGACGAGATTTTTTTGCAAAGGTCTACGCTACCATAAATGTATCTATAATAATATATCATAACTATAATAATAATAGGTAATAATGGGTAATAATAGTAGTAGTAGTATATTATATAATAATATCTAGGTAAAAATATGTATATAACAACAAACTCGAAAGGGAGGGGTAGGGGGCGTGCGAGGGGATGGAAAAATATTATTGTAAATGTGCGTGTAAAAAAAAATTGAATACCTATATAACCGATTGAGACTTTTTAGTACTAAGAATTTTGTTGTAATTGTTATAATATTACAAACAACAACCAAATTTGACTAATCAATTAGATATTATTATTTATTTAATTTAGTGCAATTTTTTCTAAACAGGCGGTAAGTGGACTAGGTGGTGATGATAATAATAATATTATATTATTAATAATAGAAATAAATATGATTGATTGATTTCATAATAATAATAATTTAAGTATTCGAGTCACGTTGCCTCGAGATATGTGTGCCAAATAACCATAATATTGTTATCCATTATTTTATTATTAAAAAATTGATTAAATAGTTTTATCATACATATAATGTAATAATGTAGTAGATATTATAAAAAAATTGATGTTCATTATAGTATGGTCGTTGGCTGGGGGAACCTTACCTAATGCCACCGTTTAAAAAATCTTTATTACAACCAATATTATATTATACTTTCGGTCTGACAGTATATAAAAGTTATATATAATATGTAAATATTATTAGATATAATACAATACAACAATATTGTATAAACAGAAATTGAGCATACAGTAAAAAAAAAAAAAAAATAGTAGTAGTATTTGCCCCTGCATTCATATTATGTTGTATACATTGTACATAATATACATATGATATACCTTATTACTAATAATATAATATATATATATATATATATATATATATAGGTATTATGTGTACAAAATAATAGTAATTGGCTATGTATTATGTAATTTGACGGTGTTTGTCTAAATACTGAATTGAATTGTACGGAAAAACCCTTAAAAATATAGCGTTAATGAAAAATGGGTTTCCAATACAAGTAGAAAATGTTCTTAATGTTATTTTTTTTGGGGTGAAATATAATGTTTGCGAATCGATATATCAAAAAAACCGAGCCAAAAAAAATAATCAAATTATAGTCATAAAAAATAGAAGATATAAATAATAATAATAATAATATAAAACCGACCGTATCTTAAATACCTATTACAATGATGATAATATTATATATATATATATAATATTATATTAGGTATGATACGAAAACACACGAATGGCAGCGAAATGGAATTTGAGATCGACTAAAATAAAAAAAAATTAAAAATGATTTAAAATAATTGTTAGGTATAAAAAAAAAAAAAAAACAATAATAATTATAAATAAGTAAAAAAAAAAAAAATAGTTATTTTATAAATCATGACTAGATTTTCAGTTCATTTGTAGCCCCCCCCAAAAAAAAAATAGTAGGTACAATTTTCGATCGACTAATCAATTAATAATAGCTGTCGCAGCAGCTGTTGTACGTTGTAAATTTGTCATTTATCATCTTCGTCATATTCTAGTTTACTGCTCGTCGTCCAGGTCGAGATCGACTGGGAGGTCTCTGCTGTACATGTCGGCCAACTTGTCGAAATGAGATCCCCAGGCCACCAAGTACTCGTAGTCCTGGTGGTCTTCTTCGGTACCTGTATAAACCGATCAGTTAGTGAAATTTGTTCTTTCGTTTGCCAAAGAAATGGTGGCACAAAGATGTTTCCCAAAAATCAACTAAGTGACAGCTGCCGAGAGAGGATAATTGATAAGAAACATTGGATTCAGGATGCTTGGACTTAAGAACTAGTGATAAGGGACAGCTGATAACGGCCCCTATCAAGAGACGGATGATAAGTGATAAGAGATTAATAAAAATAGACATCCGATAAGAGAATAATGATAAGGGACAGCTGATAATAAATCGTGAAAAGAGACGGTTAATAAGAGATCAGCTAAGGGTTTAGGTTTGGATTTCAAATTAAATATGTATATTTAACGGTCAGAGGGGGGTCAAGTGGGTAAAACCGAAAAGATCTCACTGCCTGTGTTAAGCGAAGACAACGATCCGGCGGTGCTGCCGCCTCCTTCGTACGCGTAGTTCCTGAGGTCGTCGAAAGGCGGTGCGTTTGGGTCGCCGTCCGCTCTCTTCTTGTGGTCTTCGATGAATATGCCGACGTTGGGCTCAACGCCTCTGGGCAAGGTCGGATCTGAAAACAAGTGGCACGACATAGTTGAATTACTTGAAAAACATAACAGGTCGGTACGTTGCAAAGGAGAACAGTAAGCGCTATTTATTTTGCGGGCAAAAGATAGGAAATTTTTGACAAAAAATGTGTACAAGCTTTATTATTATTTTTATGTTTTCTATGATTAAAAGTCATGTTTGGATGGTGTAATCAATCATGATTACTGATTACATCCCCTAGAAATGTGACTTTTTAGCCGGTTTACTCACATTTGTATTTTTGCGGATGCATGTTGTTGATGGATCCGCCCACGGGGATTTGCAATGGAGTGATGTCGAAAGCGGTCATGTCGTCCTCGCCGCCGCCCTCGTCGTCGTAGTTGATGATGTTCTCCCTGACGTCGTCGTCCGGCCCGGGGTACTTGATGTGCGACTCGCGCCGGCGGTTGTACACGACAAACATCAAGACCAAAACTGCGGTAAAAACAGACACACACACTGTTAGGCAACGGCTGTGTACCGCGCGACACACTCCCGGGTGGAGTGGTGGTGGCGGCCACTTTTACTCACTCAAAATGATCAGCAGACAAACGAGAATGGCCGCGAGCGCACCCATTCCGATTTTCAACTTTTGGCCTTCCTGGACCAGCTCGCAGTTCTCGCCCCAAAACCCGTCGGGACATATGCACCGGTACCGCATCCGCGGATCTTGGTTCAGGCACACGCCGCCGTTGTGGCACGGACTGTCCAGGCACTCGTTCTTGTCCACGCATCCTTTCCGGTCCGAAGTCATTATGCGGCCTTCGCCGCACGTGCAATCGTAATAGTTCCACAGGTCCACGCACTCGAACGGCTCCTGGCAGATGACGTTGGCGCAAGGCTTGTTCGACGGGCAGTTCCTCTCCACGTTCCTGGCCATGGTGGCTTGGCCCCACTGCGTGCCGTTGGTGGCCGGTGGCAGCGGCAAATACTTGCCCTCCAACCTTATGTCGTCCAAGCAACCTGACAATACCGATGATTATAATATTATTGACCGCCACATTATTAGGTCTACCTAATTAATTAATTAGGCGTGCTCACCTTTTTGGAAATCACCGTAAACCTCGAAAGTCCGGACGCCGGTGTACTCGGCTTTGCCGCCGGCGTACACGCCCTCCTGTTTGTCGACCACCAGCCACTGGTGTCCCTCGAACCGGTACGTCTCGTTGTAGTTCTTCCCCTCGCCACCGTCCAACTCCAGAATGGCCGACGAACCGTACCTGGACACCTTGGCCGTGTGCCACTTGCCGTCGTCCACCATGACCGCGCTCAGCCACACGTCCTTCTCCTCGGTCCTCAGACTGTTCAGATTGTATCGGAAATGCAGTCTACTGTCCTTGATCTACAACCGACCGACGACAAATAAAATAAAGTTAAGAGTATCCACACTTCATGCAGATACATCAATACATGGATATGTCCTACAATCTAGTCTCTCTAAACCATCTATCTCTATTAATCCTGCTCCATAATTCCTCAATACTCCTTCATATTCCTCCTCCATGATCCCTCCATAATCCATAATGACGTCAGCACTGTGACACGAAACGTGACGGACAAATTTTCACACATATCCTTGTCAACGTGATGTCAACCTACTCTACTCTACTGGTCGACGGAAAGGTCGAAAACTACTCACCTCCAAAATGGCGTATTCCCTGTTGTGCTGGTCGCTGACCCGGAACAGTTCGCCGTGTTCCTCGCGCGTCCTGAACCGCAACTGGATTTTCGTCATGAACCGGTCGGCGTCGAACGACAGCGCGTACTTGACGTAGCTCTGCGGCCGGAACGTCGTGGGAATGGTCGGCGTAAGACAGTCGGTGCCCGACCAACCGGGATCGCACTCACACCGCGGCTCCACCATGCTGCCCACGCAAGTGCCGTGCATCGTGCACCTGTGGCCGGCCAACTGCAAGCACATGTCCTCGGTCTGCGGGCAATTGGCAAAGCTGTTGCGGGACAGGCCGGGATGCGCCAGGTCGTACAGCTGAAACAGAGTGGTCAGTAAAGACAACTAGTAGTAATAGGACTGTTATTGTGAATGCTCACTTTGCTGTTGTGGTAAACGTTCTTGATGCATCCGTCGAATCCTTTGCCGTACGGGGCCGATTGCCAGTGGTAATGCGTCGGGTCGAAGTCCTGTATGTACCTGCCGCCCAGCTGGAGCGGCGCGTTGATGTTCAGGAACTCGTTGAACGGCGGTATGGTGCCTTGGGCCTGACACGAAGAGTCGTCAAAGTCCGGATGGGAACCGTCTTCCAGCTCGGAGATGTCGGCCGAACGGCAATTGTCGACCACCAGACGTACGTTCTGCAACAACAGAGACGCATGAGAAATAAAAAATGGAAAATCATATAAAAAAAATACGGTTACACCAAGTACTAACCTCGGTGTCCCAGAACACGTCTATCTTGTGCCATTCGCCGTCGTCCAAGCTCTTTTTGGTTTTCACTTTGAGTTCCAGCGTGCCCGAGCCGAAGTCGATGAGCAGACGCGGCTGTCCCCTGTCCAATTCGACCGAAATGAAATCTGCAAACACAAAGGCGTATCAATGTTAAACATGCATTCGAATAGCAAGTGAAAAACGCAGCATCCGTACCCGACACCAACGTCTCTTCGGGTTCGGGCGGCACTATCGGCCCGTTGTAGAGAATCAGTCCGTCCGCTTTCCTGGTGACAAACTCCAGGCTCAAATGCGAGTCGTCGCACATGTCCAGAGGCGGATACCACGCCCAGCCGTTGCCCCTGAAGCTCCTGGCCGTCTGCTGGCACCTGGGTCCGTTGTAACCGGCCGGGCATTCGCACGCCGGCCCGTTCCTGGTGTCCGTGCACCGTCCACCGTTCAGGCACGGGCTGGATTTGCACGTGTCCATCTTGGAGAAGTTCCGGGCCCCGCAAGTGCATTCGGCGTAAGAATCGATTCTGACGCCGACCAGCGCCGTCTTGTTGGCGTTCACCATGTAAGGCAAGGTGTTTATCTCCAGCACGTTGGTGCAGCTGCCCTCGCAGTTGGCGTATTCGTACAGACACTCGTCGATGCCGACCATGGTGATGTTGATGCCCACCTCCTTCTCGATCTAAGAGACAAACAACGGTCATTAACCGTGCACACTGCATTATACTATGTGCTTGTATTTACCTCTTCGCGGTGCATAAGTATGAGACCGTTGAGCTTGACCGTCTTGTAGTAAGGCGAACCGTGAGCCGAAAACCTGATGTCGGTCAGAGGGGGATATTTCTGTTTCAACTGAACGCTGAACACGTCAATGTTGTCCCTGGGAGTGCTGAGTATGTCGGCCAGTTTGTCCTTGAATCTGTCCAATTTGCTCCTGACCAAACTCTGCGTCTGAAAACCGGGAAAATACATTAGAAAGGAGTTGGACCTTGAGATGGAGCTGACAGCTTGTGTACGAGTCCGCAACTACGGGAGACATTTTATGTTTTTTTTAAATATATATAAGGATGTATAAGGATAAAAGGATGTATAACGCTGTCGATTTTTCCGGTTGTGTGCCAAAGTAAACCGTGTCAAAAAAACCGACTTGGTCGACCGAAACCCAAACTTGGGACAGATTATCTCTAGTCGAAGAAATCGTCTTACCCTGTAGTTCCATATCCTGATAAAGTCCTCGTCCGAAATCCCGGCTATCCTGATCGATCCGGCGTTCATGACGGCCTCGTGCGATATCTCTTTCACGGTAACGGTCACGTTGGCCGATATGTCCGTCTGCGTGTGCTTCCTGTCGTACACCTTGAACCGCAAGTCGTACTGTCCTTCGCGGGTGCCGTGGCGCATGACGATCATGCCCGTGGTGTCGTTGAGCTTGAACCGCGGGTGCTCCACGCTGTCCGGGTAGAACTTCTTGTCCGGCAAGTCCCAGTCGTCCAAGTCGTACACGTACACCCGACCGATTTCCGTTTCGGGTGCTTGGCCCATGTAGTTGTAGACGAATATCTCTTTGGATCCCGGCTGCATCTTGTTGTCGTTCACGTCCCGTATGATGACGGTCAGCGTGCTGGTGCCGGTCATGGCCGGGTTGCCCGAGTCCTTGATCACTATCGGTATGAGATACTCCTTTTGCTGTTCCCGGTCGAACGACCGCAGGGATGAAATGACGGCCATTCCGTCGCCGTTTGCGCCCTCTGCACCGGAAACAGACATCCGTTGTTAACAATAATGCAAAAGGCTATTGTGAAATCATTAAATGTACTCACTCTGGTCGTGTTCCACTTTGAACGAAGCTCGGATCACGTCGTCCGCGTTCGGGTCCATTCGGAATGTAAACGGCGGCCCGTTGCTCTTGGACCGGTCGTCGTCGTCGGTGGCCAACACTTCCACCACCTTTCTGGCGGGCACGTGTTCCGGCAACATGGGTCGGTAGTCCCGCAGAAGTTTGGGCGCGTTGTCGTTGATGTCCTGCACGATCACCGTCAGGGTGGCGGTGGCCGTTTTGGGCGGTATACCGTCGTCGATGGCCAAAATTTTCACCTGAAAAACAAAGAACCGAGTAAACAAAGTCGTGCATACTTTACACGGCTGTCTGCAGCGAAAATGACATGAAAGTTCTCTCTCTCTCTCTGACGTACCTGGTGTCTGGGGGTTTCCTCTCTGTCCAATTGCCGCTGAATCGACACCGTGCCCTCCTGGCTGATGCGGAACTGCCGGCGGCGGTCTGACGCGCGGTCGATGGCGTACGACACTCTACTCTTGCCACCCTGGTCCGGGTCGGTGGCCTTGAACGTTTCCAGGCTCTTGCCCACCTCCACGTTTTCGTACACGGACACCTCGATGTTGGGCCGTTCGAACTGCGGCTTGTTGTCGTTGATGTCGCGCAGTTTCACCACCACCCACGAGTAAGCCACGTGGTACTTGTCGTGATCGTTGTCTTCGCCCTGTCGCCAAGACAATTGTGAGATTAGGATTGCGCCGCGGGGGACCCACCCGAACCGTGTACGTACCTTGTCGTTGACCTGTATTCTGAAACGGAACCCGTTGCTCTGCAGTTGGTCCTCAAAGTCCAGCGGTTGAACGATTTTCAGCGAGCCCGTGCCGTCGTTGTTGCGGACCATCGTGAACTTGTCGGCGCCGTAACCGCTGTTCTCGATCACCTGCGGATCACGTGGGCCGTGTGAAAGATACCGTACCCGCGTCGACATAAGCAATCTCGGTTTACCTTGTACTGGAACTTGTTGGTCTCGTCCTCGTCGTGAACGGTCACAGTGAGAATGGGCGTCTCGGGCAGGTTGAAACCGTCGGTCTCGTCCACTTCGGTCAGCCACTCCTCTTTGGTGAACTGCGGCGGCATGTCGTTGATGTCCTTGACCCGGATGGACGCGGTCCCGGTGCCCTTCAGCCCTCCGCCGTCCATGGCCACCACCTGGATGGAATAGTCCGGCGTCCGTTCTCTGTCCAGACAGCACACGGCCGTCTTGATCACTCCCGTTTCGGATTCTATTTCGAATATCGGCGTGCCCGTCTCCTCTTCGATCACGTTCTTCTCTATCGAATAGATCAGCTTGGCGTTGGTGCCCTCGGCCGGGTCGTCGTAGTCCACGGCCGTCATTGTCATCACGACCATTCCTGCCGAAGACAAACACCATCAGTAAGACGTTATACCGAGTACGATCCAGAAACGGTGTACGTGGAGGACGTGAAAAATAGGCTAAATTGTGGATGGGCGAAGCGGAGGGGAGCGTCAGGTGTTTTGTGTGACAGGAATGACAAGAAATATGTCGTGTAATCTAGTGTCTCTAGTAACTTATCTCTATTAATTCACCTCCATAATCCCTCCATTATTCTACTCCGTAATTCCTTAATACTCTATGAAAATTGCTTTCTGATAATATTACTTTCTGGTTAGTTGCTGTTCTGATCAAACAAAATTAAAAACATTGTTCGAAAGCTTTTGCAAATTTCAAATGTCTTAAATTGAAGTATAACCACGAACAGTAATAGAAAACATTCGAGACTAAAGTAGGTAGTTATGTTAAGTGTCACAGTGCTGACGTCATTATCATTACTTAAGGATTATGTAAAGAGTTTTGGTGGGATCATGAAAGGATTAGGTAGGTGAATTAATAGAGTTATTGGGTTACAGATACTACATTGCAGGAAATAACCATGCAGTGATGTATCTGCATAAAGTGTGGATACTCTTAACTTTCGGGGTTTTCATAACCCCAATAAGACTAACCGTGTGTTCAGTTCAACTGTGATCAATCGACACTTACCAGCCGTTCCGTTTTCGGTGACGTTGCCCCAGTACACTCCCTGCGGGAACACGGGAGCGTTGTCGTTAATGTCCTTCAGGTTGACCTGCACGTCGGCGTAGCCAACCAGGCCTTCGCCCCCTTCGTCTTGCGCGAACACCGTGAATCTCCACTGAGGTCTACCGTTGGGCTGATCTCTGTCCAAAGGCTGTAAACCAACGAGCGAACGTTATGATCAACACCATCTTACCTTGCCATTGAAATATAACATGACAGTTTACCTTGAGCACGAATATCTCTCCGGAAGTGCGGTTTATGTCGAATTTGCTGTTGGCCGGATTGTCCGGATCGATACCCTGACCGGTGAGGAAGTACACGATGTTCTGCGGACGGTCCTTGTCGCCGTCGGTGGCCGTCACCTGTTTGTCGAACGGAGAAAAAGATGTTAAAAAAAAATTTACATTCACTGTGGTTGAAGGTGTGGTTGGGTAGGTCGTCGTGAGGCGTAGCGACTAAAAAACTAACAAAATCATACGCACATCTACTAGTAGACTAATAATGAAAATTGTTAAAAAAAAAAAAAAATCGGTGCCGGACTAAGACGATCACAGTACAGATTAGCTGTTGTTGTTATATAGGTAGTGTGTTTTATGTACTAAAGAGTCCTTACCTGAGGAGTTCAGCCACCGTTCGGACAATAATACGGATACATAGTATTAGTATTGGTAAGATAATATAACACGTTATTCGATTAGTAGGTTTTTTTTTTTTTTTTGTAGAACATGCGACTGTCCGGACGATTATGACAGATTAAAAAAAAAACACCCCCTTCCCCCCCTCCCCGGCTAGTACTTACTTGTAAGAGATGGTGCGGATATTTGCCGACCAGTTCTTCTTGCATTTCCGTGGCGTACAGCGGCGAGTTGAATACGGGTGGCATGTCGTTCTTGTCGTTAATGTGTATCACCACCGTGGTCTTACTGTCTTGGTAGTTGTCCGATGCGGCCAATATCAGTTCGTACTACGCGTTACACACATGCAAAACATATACTTGGGTGTCAAATAAATGGCAAAAATAAGAAAAGAAAAAGGCATACGACAACGTAAACTATTATTGGATATTATGTTTTGCGTCGAAGATTGAATTTCGTCCGACAGGATAAACGAGGTTGCGTTTTGTGTGACAAGTATAATATTACTGTAACATATTTGTATTAAGACTACGAAATACGTGCTGGCGGTGTGATAAGGTCAAACAGGATTTTCAGATGTTCATCATGCCGTTGGTGCCAAAACTAACATTGTAAGGACCGACCGAACCGAACCGGAATGACGGGTAAGAAATTCCAAGTCTGGATGAATAAGCGCGGATAACAACAGGATGTGTTCTATGGATTTTGTCTCGTGATTTGGGAAAATCCTCAGAAAAGATAATACCGTAGGTACGTGTAGACTTGAACATGATTTTGAAATTTCTTCTAGGGTTTGGAGTGCCAAATGCTTAGGTTAAACGTCAAGGAGCTACCGGGATTTTGAAGGAGCAAAACGTTCAGAATTGAGGTTTTCCCCGGGAACAGCTGATCTCGCAAAATGCATATCGTACAGGGTTGCAGAGCTCGACCAGGTGTACCAACGGAGCTGATACAAAAATAGATAATTTTTTTCGTTGCGTTACCAACTTGCCGGTGGTGCCATTACCCCTAATGGCACCCCTACTCTTGCCAGACACGACCGTCTGGATCGGTCCGGTCCGGTCCGTTATATTTCATCAATCTAGTACACACACGGTACACAATAGTAACGACAATATAATATTATACACTATTCAGGTATATCTATAAACATGCTACATGCACAACTATAGCGAGGAGCGGGAAGACCAGGGCCGAGGGTTGTCAATCGACCAACAGGACCTGTAACACGCGTTTGGGCAAGTTGCGGTCGTCCTCTTCGGTGATCTGAGTCCTGTACGTGGGCCGTTCGAACACCGGCGGATTGTCGTTCACGTCTTTCACGTGGATCACGACTATCGTATGGTTTTCCTTGAGATTGTCCGACGCCGACAAGTGCAGCTCGTACTGTTGTGCGCGTCAATGCAATAGGAAGGCACAAGGCGAACAACATAATTAGTTTTGTATTAGAACAGACAACGAATCGCACAACGAACCGTTGCGGAATTATTATGATTTTTAAATTAAAAAAAAAAAATCGAATAAAAAATAAGTAAAAAAATGTCAAAAAAATGAATCGAAACGATAACAGGGTGAAAAGACAAAAAAAAAAAAAAAATACAAATGAAAATAATTTTACCGTCGTTCAATCAACGCTTTTGAACCTTTTGGGAGTTCTGTTTACACACGGGTTTAATATTTAATAGCGAGAAATACTTAGAAATCAAAAACTAAGCGCCTTTTCCCTCGTTCTTGTTGGGCCCTTCGAGAATAACGTCGAGTTGTCGCAGTGAAGCTTTTTTTTAAGCAGAAATTACTTTTTTGTGTTTTTAAACTAGCTTAGGTCAAGTTAATTTTTAAAATAATACTAGTAAACCTAAAGTAATTCAGTTATGTTAAAAGCTATACGAAAAAAATTGTCTTAAATTAAGTTGAGTTAATTCCAAAATTATTTTACCGGCTATACAGCTCTTTAACATCGGTTTTTTTTCTAAAAATTCAAGCTTCATAATTTAATAAGTATACCATATATCATGGCAGACAATGTTTTTATCGCAAAAATTTGATAAGACCCCCCCCCCCCCTAAAAAACATCCCCAATATTTAATATTGTTATTTAAAATGTAGCTGTTATTAAAACAAAACAATCGTTTTAACAAATAAAATAAGTGTTATAACAAAATGTAAATAAATTATTATAAGAGAATGAGTTAAGTTGGCGTCTATTCTTATTATTTTTAATTTCAGCTACTTAAGATTGACTCGTTAATGTCCATCTTTGACTGTATTTGCCAAGTGAAATTAAATCAAACAACAATGTTTCCTTCGAGAAGGTCAAGAAACTTAATAAATTAGAGTACACATCCTCAACACAAAAAAAAAAAAAGTCGTTGAACCACGCTCTGATAACGAAAAACGCTGTATGATTAAAATGTGTATGTGATATATGTGTAAACTTAAAAAAAGGACGACAAAACATAATGTAAGAAAATAAAAAATAAACGTATGATAGTTATTATGACCATAGATAATAATAATATTGATAAATAATAATAACAAGGTTGTGATGACTTAATCGCCCGACCGTAATACGTTTGTATGGACAATTATAGGGCTTGTATTTCTTTACAACACGAGTCGATCAGAGATCATTAATGTGTTTATTGAAATTTATTTGTATGTATGCAACTAAAAGGCACGAAGGAGGGGTGGTCAGATCAGGGTCGTGTTAAACTAAAACCACTGGAATCTAACTTCTTTAGATCGCATTGTTCGCTTATATCCTGGATACGGTTGGATTGAGTAAACAGTCTTTTGTTTTTGAGGGGGGGGGCAAGCCAAATGTATTAACTTGGATATGTTTTACCGGCGGGGTCATTCCAATGTACACACTTTACGTATAGTACCCGGGTACCTAAATTCCAATTCAATGTTTTTCCAAGATTTCAGGTGGAGGAACGTGCCCTTGGTGCATCCTCTTTCCCCGCCAGGGGCACTGGGCTTTATCGCGGTATTACGGTCGTCGAATTTGGCCGTTAAACAGTTAAACCTAACGCTCACTCGTTTCCTGGTCTCGTAGTCCAACGGTCCGGCCACGTAAATGGCGCCTGTCATGTTTTTCACGGCGAAAGCACCGCCCAAGTTGCCTCCAGTGATCTCGTACCGGATTCGGGACGCTGTAAACACACACATGACAATATGGTCATAGTCGTTTTAATGGCAGACCGGCGGGTCTTCTTAACTCACATTCGTCGTGGTCCTTAGCCGTCACCGTCAGCACCGTGTGTTGGATGTCCTCGTTCTCGTCCACCTCGGCCTCGTACAGAGCCTTGTCGAAGTACGGCGGGTTGTCGTTTTTGTCGGCGATGCCAATGCGGATGAACTTGGACACTGTCGAGAAAAAGACACAAGAACACAATGGCGTTTAAGCTTTAAACATAATCTCAAACCAATCACTAGACGTCACTGGAGCATGTTCACTCACCGGAATTGGGAGCGTTGTCGTTGCCGGGCCGAGCGGACGGAGCTCCGTCTCTGGCTTCCACTTCCAGGGCGTAAGCCCCTTGCTTTTCCCTGTCGAACACCACTTTGGTGAACACTTCGCCGGTCTCGGTGTTGATCTCGAAGTAGTCCTTGCCCTCGTTACGCGGCGAATCCACCACATAGTAATAGACCTGAAAAACAAATCGTTACAAACAGACTCACAGTGTAGACTATGCCAAAGACGTCGAGTCGAATGGCAAGTGACCAGAAGCGATTGTGGCGTCACAAGTTAACTACGACTGGACAGATCTCCAAGACGGTAACCCTATTGGCCACATCCAGTCTCTGTTGGACGCTCTGGAACCTCTAAACTCATGCCAGTCTCCCTCAATTCCATCCTTATTTCGCATTCGCCTCTTCACCCGTCTGGCCCTGTAACTTAACTGTTGCTCTCAAACCCTTCCGTTGCGAGCTTACCCGGTTGTTCGGGAACGTGCCGTCCTTGTCGATGGCGTTGACCTGCGTGACTTTGGTGCCGATCGGTTCACCTTCCAGAACCGTCTCCTGCTCGCGTTCCGTGAACAAAGGTATCTCGTCGTTGACGTCCTCCAACATGATAAACACCGTCGCCTCGGAAGCCAGCTGTTGAGCCCCGTTGTTCTGGAAAATAAAAACCACATCGTTGTTGGTGTCAAGACAGTTACAACAAGACAGTTACAACAAGACAGTATCAAATCTTATCGGATTCATACCTCCACGCGGATGGTCAAGTTGTATTCCTTGATGGTCTCATAGTCCAGCGGATGATTGACTTTGATGTCGGCCCACGTGAAACCGTTGTCGGGTCTCTGTTGCAGGTAGAACGTGTGGAACTTGTTGGTTTGAGCCGTCGAGCCAGGCATCAGGCGATAGAACACCGTCGGATTGCCTTCGATTCCCGAACTGGAAAACGTTACCGGCCACGATTAGATAGTAAAACATAGTTGTTGGGGGAAAAATAATAACGGGGACGAAAATAACTAAAAAAATAAATAAATGAACGTGAGGTGATGGACAATCAAAATTTCGGCATAAGATCATTTCTTGAAGTTAATCGACCGTTTGATGATTTTGTGGGATACAAAAAATGTTACACTAATCGTTGGAAATCGTTGAAAATAAATTACAAATGTCTCGAGAAAACTTTAATTTGTCAAACTGATTTTGAACGTTTCTTGAAAATGTTCACACGTTTATTTTTTTACTAAAACGCCGTTTCTATTGAAATCCCATTAATTTAAAAAAATATACATGTAGGATTCATGCAAAATTGAAACATGTAAAATAGTCGAATGTTCTAGTGACTTTTAGTTTGTTTCAAGTTTATTGTACGGCAAAAAAAAAGACCATTGGCAAAATACAAAAAAAAAAACGCGATATCAATTATAGGTCCTTTTAAAAATTATTATTACGATAATAATACAAAAGCAATAGAAAAAAAACAACAACAATAGTGGTATTATATTATTAACGTAGAGCATCATGAAACAATAATAACGAATACAAAAATAAAAACTAAAACGCACCACAAAGTAATGTGATCGATCATAATGATATAAATATATATAATAATATAATTCACTCAAAAGTCAAAATACAAATTAAAAAACAAAATAAAAGAGTAAAACTAATGACTGCTATTATTATTTACTATAATGCATCTGATCGGGTTTGGCTAATAATTTAACGAAACAAATGACAGAAAATAATCGTATATATTTTCCCCATTAGTGTTTTTTTTTTAAATTCGAACGATAATTTAATTGGATTTGCTCAAACAAGCGGGGCTCGATTTTGATAGTAAGCGTACAGCATATTTATTCGAAAATATAACGTCTAATTTATTTTGTTTTTGTCATCGAAAACTCTTCTAGGACATTGTTTTTTATCGTTGTATGAACAATTATTGTCGTTTAATTTATCGAAAACTGATTTGAGGAAAACGATATAGGATAATATTGTTATCAAGTCACATATTATTATAACGTTAGGGTGCATAATTTGTTTTCCCAAACAAGTGCTGAATGCATGTTAACCGACAAAGTCTAATGCACGTGATGGTTATAAGTTGATGTGAAAATATTGTGTTACACCCGTTCTTAACGCCCAGTAGTGTAAAATTATTATTTACAGCTTTAAAAAAAAACATTCGATTGAATCGTTAATTCGTCGAAATTTAAAAAAAATATACGTCTAATAAGTTAATGGTTGGAAATCGTCTTGACCTACATAATATTTTTGTAAAAGTCCACATGTTCCCAAAAGAGGCCGTACTTAAATTGGTTTATGGAAGTTAAAAGTAAAAAAAAAAAAAATTGATAAATACACAACAGCTAGTAATGGAATAATAAAAATTAAAACAGTCTAAAAAAAAAGGTCTAAAAATGTTTTTTTTTTTTTAATTATCCATTTCTATTAAAATCCGCACATAGACAGCGTGCATTGTATTTTTAGTGCGGACGTGCAAAAATATTATTATCATTATTATGTTGACCGGCATGCATTATTTTGACATTTAGAGATACTCAAAAAAAAAAAAAACCAAAATCAAAACATGTACTAGAACAAGTCAAGTTGATCTCAAAAATGACAAAACAATTTGTGTCTACCGAGTCCCGAATCATGAGATGTACAGATTGACAAAAGTAAAAGATTAAAAATAGCTATACTAACAAAAAACAAAGTAAAAAACCTTTTAATACTAAAAAAAAAAAAGTACGGCGTTAATTAACTCGGAACTGTTTCGTTTATATTTTTTAAATTAACAAATTAACTCTTTTTTTCTCCACACTCGTTTGACTCTATCTTGCCTTTAACTTCTTAAGCCCCCACAACCTCAGTGCTTACACTAACTTCGCTGCTATAATGGTTTCAGGCCATTCGGCCACTGTCTCAACGAAAAATGTTTATCTTTAGATTCACTCTTAATTCAGACCTCTTCAGTCATTCGCTGTTCAGTTAATTTTTTAACAGTCAAGTTCATATTAAAAAAAAATCAAAGGAATATATGTATTTTAATAATATTATGTTCTACTGTAAAAGTATAGCCAAAAAATTAATTATGCATAAGCAACATACGTTACTGTAAAAAAAAAAAATAATAAAAAATAATGATCTGCACATCTCATCGTTTTGAATAAAAATAGCAAACAGCAACGCGTTCGTTCAAAGTATTATGATTTGATATTAAACAATGTGTATCTGAAATAAATGTCACTCTATTCAAGTATAATATGTTACACCACCGAAAAGCTAAGTGTAATTTTTTTTTCTATTTGTCTTTCTAACTAAAAATGTATCTTGGCAACGAATAGGTCAAGAAACAGCACAATGACAGCGTTTGGCGTCAAAGACCGTTTGGCTACATTATAAACCCTAAAAATGTTTGGATTTTCATGAAAATAGTGTAAACAACATAAGTTGTTGGACTATATTTAAATTTTACAAGGCAAACCAAATATTTAGCAACAAAATAACCGTTTTCAGTTCCAACATACGAAATCTTAAAATGCATAAAATCAAAAATACTTTGTAAAAATTACATTTTTAAATGAAATTATTTGTCAAGTGATTTTGAGGAAAATATCGCTAAATGAGTGTTTTTTTTTTTTACTCTAACCGGTTTTATCGTAATTTTATGATTTGAGAAAATATTCTAAAAATTCTATTCTTAGCGTACGAGTGCATATATTTATTTCAGATACACACTGTATAATAAAATATAATATATTTCATGAAAATACAAAACGTACCTACACTTATGTGTATACTATAATATATAAAAAAAATTATATATACACACAAATTAAATTATAGTGCCGTGCAAAACAGACATAATACATATTATTATAAATCTGTCAAAACAAAAAACAAATTCACGTTTTTTGCATACAAAATTAGCGTTTATTTGCTTTGTTTTTTTTTTTTACTATTTTTTTTTTTTTTTTTTTTAAGACCGACCTGGCTTTTATTGATACCACTTTAGCCCCGACCGCTTTGTTTTCTTTTATGTAGATGGGCCCGTACACGACGTGGTCCCAGACCGGTGGGTTGTTGGCTCGGTCCACCACGTCGATTTGCACCTCGACGCTCCTAGACAAAGGGGGGTATCCCTTGTCTTGGGCGGTTGCTTCCAGCTTGTACGTCTCACGCTATAATAGAGTTTAACGGGCGCAACGGGGTGAGACGAAGTGAGGGAGCGAAAAAAAAAACAAAAAAAAAAAAAATACAAAAATACAAAAAAATCGTAATACACCGCTATTACACACAATATTATTATTATTATTATTATTATTACGTAGAATATAACATACCTAATAATGTTATATTATATTATCGTATTTAGCAACAACCGTATCCTACCGTAGAGAGGATACCACCGCTATACTATACAATATTATTATATAGCATGTATATATAATATACAAAATATATTTATGAATATTAATTAATTAGGTTTATATTTTTTTTTGACATTTATAGTCACACCATGACGTTGTTTACCACACCGTTAATATTCGTCCACGAGGACGGACGGGGTCGAAAATCAATACTTTTGAACACGCCGACATTTGTTTTTGACTAGGGGGGTTTATTTTTTAGACAAAGGGGGCGAGGGATGTGAGGGGGGGGGCGGGTGCGAACAGGACGATTACAAACCTGGCTTTCACCGAGATCACTATGGTACCGATTGTGACATTCTCTTTGACGTGCGTGGGGCCGTACACGGTGCGTTCCCACAGAGGAGGCTTATTGTTCCGGTCAACTACGTCCAGCTCGATATCGACTTCAGCCGACGACGGTGGCTGACCACAATCCGAGGCTCTTACGCGCAGACGATACTTTTCGTGCTACATTGTACACATAATATACATACACACACACATACACAAAACAATTGCCCCCAAAAAAACAAACAGTTTTTTGAGTACAAAGTTTGGATAAAACAAGTAAAAAAAAAAAAAAAAAACAAATAAATAAATAAATAATCGTATAGCAATTAGTAAAAAAAAAAAAAAAAGAATCTGCCAAAAACAATATATAATCAAAGCGTCAATATGATAATAATGAGGTACGAGTAGTGTGGTATGATGGTATGATAAACACCGGGGGCGTACACGCGCAGGGGGGTTACGATTACATTATTTTACGTTTTTATTAAAACGCAGCAGCTGTAGTTACCCCCCTTGTGTTATCACACGAGGCTGCCGAGAAAACGGTACAGTGATAACATTTGTTAGTGAGAAACATTACAGAATAACCGAAAGGGTAAATTTAAAAAAAAATTACACGGGTAGATAGACTATGGATAGACCGTAGATCATTTCAGTTCCTACCGTGTTTGAGTGATAATTATACGTTATCCGCGAAAACAAATTCTTATCAGTCCCAGCCTAGGTTTCCCTTCTGTGATGATATCACTGTTGATGATAACAATATCAGTAGCGCCGGAAATTCTATACAGAGTAGAATAAATCGGAAAGGACACTTAATGTAAGCAAAGATTTTCGGATGGAGGCCGCCGTCTTCTCATTTGACCTACAATTATGTCTACACACAACTAATGTATAGAAATAACATTACTCGGGCTTGGGAACTAAGGGTCTTAAAGTCAATTTTTAATTAAAATTATTTAAATGGGCATATTAATTAGGAAAATAATTTAATTAGTTGGATAACCCTGAGACGTAGATACCCCATTTTGATATTCAATGAAGTGCCTTGTTGACATTATTTTACCAACGATACAATAATATATTTTTTAAGTTTGTAGTCAAAAGGTGTTATTGACAAAAAATTAATAGCTCGTTATAGATTATGACATTCTGGATTTAATGACATAAAAGTTAATAAAATCAAAATAAATGTAATTAAAATTGTTCTAAACAATTGTGTAAAGTCATAGATAGATGTAGAAAGATATAGAACTCTTAGTTTCTAATCCCCTGATTGTACTGATTGCTAAATGAGAATGTGGCCACCACGTTTTTTAGCGTTAAGTATAACCGTCGTGTTAAATTTAGAAGGACTTAAACAGTCGACAAGAAAAAGTAGGAAAGGACGTATTTGGTTGTTCATTGACTGAAGTTTTCTCCGTTACCACTACCGAGAAAGTTTTTTCATCTAATTGTTTTGCTAAGGGAATGGCAGTAGGGACTCGATACATATAGAGAACCCTCCAATGGTTAATTGTATCCTGGACTATCAATATTTAACGAACGTGTTGTTCCCCCGGGAAAGTTACGTGTACGCTCCCGGTAAACATTATGTAATGCTATTGTTCTAGTGTGTCATGTTGTCTCAAGTCGTTTCGAGTAAGTTTCCAAGTATGTCTAAACACTATAACGTCACACAATTGCATTTCTGTACAGTCTAGACAACTGATAGCATTGTTGTGTTGTAGCGAGTGGATAGAAAAGTGCAGATTTCCAATCGAGTTGTCCTAATATAGTGTTCTTAATACACAAAGCGGTAATTATGCGCGAGATTAAATCATTTCGAGTAGGACGAAAATTAAGGACACAATATTGTAGCAGTTACACACCTATTGTGAAAGGAATAAAAGGAATGATAATATCAAGTCGACAAACGGTATTGTTGCCAGGATTGTTAAAATTTGAGATTTTTTTTAAACTTCAGTTTTAAACGTTTAAAATAGGCACACTGTTTTTTTAACAAAAAAAAATATCTCAACCTCATCAACAAAATTTATACCCAATAAAGGTAGAGAATAAGTATGATTAGTAAAAAATAAATGAATTTCCAAGGTAGGTAGGCAAAAAATAGCTTTTTGAAATTCTAGAAGCATTTTGAAAGTTTTTTTTTTTATTAAAAATATGTTTAAAATGAGGTGCATTACGCCAGAAAATCTTAACCTACAAACAATTTAACTTCATTTTATTACATTAAACATTTTAGAATATTACAATACATTCTTTTAAAAACAAAACTAACCCAAACCTAAAAAAAATTATCCACTCAATGGCAGAACTGACATTTAAAAATTTATAATTCGATTTTTCTTGAAATAACGGATTTGCGGGTAAGGACTTTTTGGCACTACATTTGTTTTGTATCAGTCTCAAAGGCTATTGTTAACGGCTTGTGCAGATGTCCCAGTGTTTTATTTATTTTAGTTGGATGAGTTTTTAAAAGCCCCACATGTACTTAAGTATTTAGGGATAGGTTCCTATCATGAAATTTTATAATAGTCAATTAAATTGTAGGTAGTGAACGTCTGGTACTAGTATTTGGTAAAAGTAATTTGTTGGTCGCAAATATTAAGAAGTATTTAAACAAAATATACAAACAAACTATGTCAATGTTTTTCAAAACTATTTTTTAATGAAAAAAAAAATCTTGGTTCGTCTCCTTATAATGAAACGTCTAATTTGATATTTATTTTATAATTTTATAGAACCGTGTTTTTTTTTAATAACTATAAATAGCACTCCAGTGGTTAGTCTTAATGATGTTATACATTATTATAACAATACAATCGTATGTATTTAGTACGACTGCGTGAAATAAAACATCACAAATTCGTAATCTGTTTAAAACATTGTAAAACAAAAACTAATTTTAAATAGTTAGTATCGGATATTTTTGTTTAAATACCATCCGTTTTTGCATAGATTCGTTTTGTCAACACAGTCAATCAAACGTTTGGGTAAATATTTTGGTACTGATTATGTCCCTAGTACCACACGCCTACTTGTATCAGGGACATAAGCAGCTATGCACAATAATTGGTATTTTAAACAAACTTAACATGGTAATATTATCTGAAAGCGATCATCCTGTTAGCGTGGAGAAAATGTTGATTAAGAACAAAAAAAAAAAAAAACGAGCTAAAACATTTTTTTGTTATAAAAATAAGTAAACGCCACGTAGCAAACATCATGCTTTGACAATTTCATAAATATGCGACATGCTACAACCTAATTCTATCTAACGAAGCAATACATTAGAGCGACAGAATATGCTTGGTCTCAAGCCAAAAATCTACTAAGAGATTTGTTTAAAAACGTTTGGCGAACAGTATAGGATATTATAGTAATAATAATATATTATTTTGGAAATATTCCATTATTAAAAATAATATAATATGAACATTTAAAAAAAAACAATTACATAATAATAACCATGTTTTTAAATACTACATAAATATATCGAAACAATTATTTTATACAATTTTCGCAATGGAATATTTCACCAATAATAATATATTTGTATAAAAAAAAAGTTGTAAACTCGCAATGCAATGCAATGCAAAAAAAAAAATAAAAAGTACTCTGAACGATTTGTAAGGTACTTAATTTAAAATTGCAACACTCAAAGTGTGCCATAAAAATCAAAACTATACTCCGACAACGTCCAAAGCTACAGAAAGGGTAAGCACTACGTTTGACCTGGCCAATAGGGTCAGATGTTTAAAAAAAAAAAAAAAGTATATTAAAATTGAAAAATACAAATAGGATGCTTAAAAAAATGTAAATCAAAGGAGTAACAACAATACAAAGACATAAGAAAAAAATCTTGTTAGTCCAGCACTATCACAGACCATATGTACGGTTGTCCCAAACACTTAAAAAAAATGTCACAATATCGTTTGGCGAGGCGTTCAAGTCTTAAAATCAAAAAACAATTAGACTCTTTTTTTTTTTTTAAAAAAAACCTGCCTCTAAATATTCCTGGAAAAACTGTATTTTTTTTTAAAACTATTTTTGTGGTAAAAAAATTCCACAAAAACACAATACAGTATAGTTTAAAATATCGGTCAAAAGTATTGATTTTTTTTTCAAATTCTACTTTGAAAATTAAAATTAAAAAACTTAAAAAACAAAAAATGTTTTTTAAAAAAAAAATCGAAGTGTTTCTAAAAAAAAAACCGTTACAATAAACGTGTGGGGGGACATTATTATAATTACTTTTAACAAATTCTATGCAAATCAAATTCAAATAAAATATAATATGGTGTGCTTATAAATTCAAATACCGTGTGTGGGTGGCCAACGACGTTAAAAACAAGGAAACGGTGCGGTTAATCAATATATTTCAATAATAACGTTAGAAAATCATAAGTCAATCTTGTGCCATTTCAAAGAAACACAAAAGAAAAGTGATGGAAGTAGAAAAAAAAATGTTTAAAGCTTTCATCAACTGTATTTACACAGTAACGACATGAAGAAAAAAAAAATACTCAACTGCAATTCGTTATTATTAAATTACCATCCGTCGGATCGACTTTAATCAGATTTGACGACCATTTAAATATTTGATTCGCGGTTCCCCCCCCCCTCATTCTTTGAATGAGAATAATTTAAATATTACAAAAGTAACAACCACTGTATTCGTTGTACAGCCGTTGCCGGCAAAAGTTATTAATTTGCATAACCAACAAAAATTACATATTAAATCATTTTTCGCGTTTAATAAATATACTAATGTTTTCTCTGATGTTGATTTTTTTTTTTTACAACAGTTGAGTACAGTTGAGTATTTTTCGAGAAGAATTTATTATTTAAAAGTATTTTTTTTTTTGGTAAAAAAAAAACTTGTTTAATATTGTTAGTCGAAAGTCTAAAATTATACAGAACAGACGTGGCCGAGTGCGGAATCAATTTTGATTTACAAACCGATGATGAAATCTAAATTGTTAATTATTTTCCATTCTCGCTACCGTGTAGCTTAAACAATAAGATTACAACTCAAATGTTAAGCCAAACCGGCGAGAAAGGTCGTTGTTGTGTTTGGTATTTCGGTTGAAAATCGGTAAATAAATTCCGCGTTCGGCCGAAGACTTAAACGGTAATGGTGTAAGATATTATTATCATAATTATAGTTGTATATATATATATATATTGAATTATTTTGTTTTAGTCTAAGACACCACAGCTTAGTGCTTGGAAACTTACGTCGAGCGGTTTCTTCAAGACGATCCAACCGGACTCGGGTTGGATCTCAAAGTAGTCCAGGTCGTCTCCGGGATAAGGTGCGCTCAACGAGTACACAATGGCGCCGTTATTGTCGGCGTCCTCGTCCGAGGCGGACACCCTGAGTATGTTGGTACCAATGCTGGCGTCTTGCTTGACGTTTTCCACGTATTTCTAACATGTCAAAAATAAGACAATCACATCATATTTTTAGATACCGTTTGGTTGGAAATAAATTAAATTTCCCCACGTAGTTGATAGTTTTTGATAAATATTTTTAATTATTCAAAATTGACTTTTAATACAAATATTTTTCATCAAAAAATGTACTGTCTATTGGACAGTATCCAAATCGATAGTATGCTGACGTTAATCACTGATAACGAATCGCCCTCCGACAAAATCTATTTATCGTTGAAAATTCATTCCTTGATTTTATTTTCTAATTTATTTACTTATTAAGAATTATTAGCTGTTTATTAAACAAATGTTTCGGGCACCTCTACAACAGTTCAGAGATAAATAATTTGTAAATGTAATCACGATTAATGATCACATTTAAAAAAAGAAAGTAAATGATTATTATTTAAATTAAATCAAGCCACATTTTTTTGTTATATTTCATGTAATTTTATTACAAAGTAATCAATTAAGCCCAACACTGTTGACTACTTAATAATGATTACGAACGTAATTTAAATATTAAAAATGCAAGTAATGATTTATTCAAACATACCCTTAAAATATTACACAATAATGTTAACAACCTCCCAACAAAAGTTTATAATATTATGATTCGGCAAAAAGGGGTGAATATCGAAAAATTGTGATTCTATACTTAATCCCATCCAAGAGCGGTATGTGTGTCATAACAAAAATTTCAAAGAGGAATGCCTTTTGGTTGCAGTATAAACTAGATAGATTTTTTAAAAACCTCTGAGTTGTCACACAGTGATGTTCACTTTCACCACGTTGATCCACGAGGGATAAAAGCGGCAACCACTGATATGCATTCCAGAAATCGAGGATTTTAGATCTCCCAAGGGAGGAGGAGAGGTTGAATGAATATTTTGTTGCTTACCTGTCGGTCGAAAAGCGGAGGGTTGTCGTTGACGTCGGTTATCTCGACGGTAAACGAGCATACGCCTTCTAGAGACGGATCTCCTTGGTCGGTCGCTTTGATGGTGACCGAAACGAACTTGCCGTCGTCGCCTTCCCTGTCGAACACCTGACATGGGCAGAACAGAATGTCAGATACCTACCATAAGCGCCTATAAGCGAGTGCTCGCGTCACATTACCTTGTTGGTGGACACCTCTCCGGTTTCCTCGTCAACGATGAATTTGGTACCTTTCTGATTGGGCTGCTGTACGATTGAGTACTTGACTTGACCGTTGACTCCTTTGTCCTCGTCGGTCGCGTGCACCTGTGTTCAGGACCACGATAAAAGGTTAGCAAAACAAATTGTTAGTTTTCCCTTGAAGGAATTACATTGGATCATGAATATGTCTTAATATTCCTTCTCTTTTCGCTTCCCTGCCCCTCACTTATCAGTCAATTATCTCGATAATGATAACTAATATCAGCTGATTTTCTTATCAACGATCACCTCTGTTCTATTACCCCCTCTTCTTTTCTCTACCCATCTATATATTCCTCGGCGAAAATTATTTAGATGACCTCAAGAGGTAGACCATATTCATGTCAATAATCAGGTTTGAGGTTACAAGTCGATGGGTTACCTTGAGCACCGGACTCCCGTTGGGAGCGCCCTCTTCCACTTTGGGGTTATACTTGGCACATTCCCTGAACACGGGCTTGTTGTCGTTGACGTCCGTGATGAACACTACCACGACCGCGGTACTGGTATGTATGGTGGCGGCTCCGTTGACGCAACATGCGCCGTCGTCTATGGCGGTCACGTTCAGCTCGTATTTGTCGCGTTCCAGAGATATAGACTTAGAGTGCAGACGGATGACACCAGTTATCTCTTCGATGACGAACTGACCGGACGACGTGCCGCTGCCAACAAAGCCGAACCTACGATGGCAAAGAACACAGTTAGAAAAACGATAATAAGTAGAGTTAGCTAAAATCAATTTTTTTTTAGCCTAGACATTTTTTTGGTAATTACTCAAGAAATGGGATTAATTTGAGTAAAAAATTGAAAAAACCCTAATTCCGCTTCACAAAAAAATTGTTAATCATGGATATGTTATCTTTAATCTCTTATCATTTATTTTTTGTTTATCTCTAATCTCTTATCACTTGTCTCCTATCACTTATCTTACCAACACAAATTAAAAGTGACCTAATTATATGTTGATTTCTTAATATTAAAAAAAAAAGGTAAAAAGAACATAAATTGGTAATCATAAGTATGTATTTATTTGTTAAAATATCAGGATAACTAAAATTAAAAATAAATAACCAAAAAATAGGAACCATGTATTGCGTCAAGTATTAACTATAAATTATTAAATATATATTATAATACTGTGTAATACACAGGATTTTTTCTTAACATTTTTTTACGGATTCATCAGAAATAATGTAAAACAATTAAAAGTGTATTTTGATTCTTGTATCAAAATCGTGATGTACAGCGTGATTAGTAAAAACAAAACGAAACAGGTGACTTGTAATGGCGATTTTGTTTAGCATTTACTTGTAGTGAATAAAATATCTCGTTAGGAGGTCCTTATCCGATAAAGATGGTACAAAGACGACCGTTAACGGTAAATACTACCGAGAAAACAGCAAGATTGTACGTCGTTAACTCTACACAACGATGCGAGGGCTTTCTTGCGCCATTTACTTTACCTGCATAATCCGGATTACATTGTTTATGGGAATTTAATAATATCTCAAGAGTAATTAATAATATAATAAACGCGTACAAGAGCCGTTGTGTGTACAGAAACTATATTACTGTATAATAGCGAAACGGCCATTCAAAAAGGCAAACTTTGCGCAAAACGATTTGTTTTGTAAATAACAACAATGTAACGCGCAGATATAGCTATCCTTCCTTCAGCTTTGAGACTTAGTATTATTTTTTTGAAAAACAAGTTTGCAAAGTGTAAACTTTGTAAGCTCCCTTAGATTTACACCGTCAATCATCTTAGTTATTTATGGAGTTTAAAATGTTAGTTAAACCAACCTTTTAGCATCGTTAAAACTTAATACTGTTGCTTAGCTTATGATTAAACCATATTTAAATATCAAATATTTTTTACTGACTAGGAATTACTAATATCGGTTTTTACCTTCCTAGGTATCATAGAGTAGTTATGGCCATTTTAGTAAATTTAATAATATACAGGTGTATGACATTTAGATTTTGTAGAATGTAAATATATAAAAATGATTGTAAAGTAATTGTTTTCAATTATTTGTCTTGTTGTTAAGTCGGGACTAAATACTTTTATTTGCAATTGATTTAAGATAATTTTGAGAAAAACAGTTTGTTTTTTGTATTTTAACAATGAAATCAATATAAGAAAAGAAAATACAAATATTAGAAAATTCTCATACCAAATTATGAGTCACATAATTTTTGCCTATTCATCTTCATAACTCACCTAATGGCGATAAATCGAAAAAAATACCATCATAACTCACCAGGGTGGTATTTTGGTCAAAAATAGTGTGCCTTATAAAAGTTTTTTTTCTATTTTATCAATTTACACATTATTATAAAACTAATACCTTCACAGCTATCGCATGGAAGCTAAAATTTTATATATGATTAAATACCCCTCTAAAAATCAGTGTGTGCTTGGAGTGCATTTTTATGAGAACTTTACATAACTCGTATATAATTTAAAACTCTTGGACAAACTTACCTCACGTTATCGCCATCTTTGTCCGACGCCACTACCGTCGTGACCAGCGTGTTAGGCCCGGCGTTTTCATCCACGTTGGGTGTGTACACCTGTTGTGAGAACTTGGGTTCTTCATCGTTTTTATTTTTCGTGTAAATCCTGATAGTAGCCGTTCCGGTCTTGGGGGGCTCACCTGTGCAAAAAAAACAACGTTGGTTATAATGGAAATTCGGTATTTTAAATAATTATATACGACGATATTGAAATTTGTAATTTTATAATATTTATACAAAAAGTTTTTTTTTAAGCTTTACTTTGGTCTATAATTGATTTATTAAAAATGATACTTTGATTTTATCGACCGTCTTGAAAACTTGTTGTTTTGAACTTATCTAGTTATGACTTTAGATTAAAGAATTATGACTAGGCTTACCTCTACCTAGGCTACACACAGACAGTGGCAGAAGAAATTAGTTAATTATTTTGGCCATAAGTAGACAAGTGTTTAACAAATTAAAAACGACTGACGTAGAATTCGGATTAGATTTATTGATTTTACTACGGTTTTATAGTTGAAACTCTCTGGGTCGGGTTAGGAGCAATTGCCTTAACCTTCTGTATTCCCTTTGTAAGCTTTAACTCTCTGTACCGACTTCTGTTGCTAGACTATTCAATATGACTACAAGCTAATGATGCACTATTATCCCATCCACTCACCTTTGTCTTTGGCCGTCAACACGAACTCGTAGTAAGCGTTGTTATTGTCAGCGTCCAATTGCTTGTTGTTGTTGACTATGCCGGACGAGTCCACGGCGAAATGGTCGTCACTGACGTGATACTCTATCTCGGCGTTTTCCCCAGAATCCGCGTCCATCGCCTTCACCTTGAGTATGGAAGTGCCCAGAGGAATGTCCTCGTCCACGTTGTGAGCCTGGTAGTCTGGTAACTCGAATTTGGGTGCATTGTCGTTGACGTCAGTCACGCGGATGGTGAGCTGAAATCGATTACAGTAAAGTCGAGTTGTATTCTAACAGTGCGCGCCTAACATAAGTAGATACCACCGTACCTATGTTTGATGAAAAGTACAGTGAAAAGTGACACAAAATAAATGGTTCATGCGTACCTCGACCGAAGTGGAAAATCCTCCGGAATCTTCGGTGGCGGTGACGATGAGCGAGTAAACGTGTGGCTGTCTCAAGTCTTCGAAATCCAATTCTTTGGCCAGTTTAACGATGCCCGATGTCGGTCCGATGTTAAAAGTACCGGCGCCTTGACCCTGGGCCTTGAGAGTGTATCTTATTTCTCGGTCGGCGAACGACTTGGCTTTTACCGATATAATGCTAGAAAAAAAAAAGAAGCGAAACATAAGATGCGACCACGCCCATATAGTTTTCGACTGGATCCAATTATCAACTAAAATTCCACTTTAATTCGTGCTATCCCATCATACGATACAACTCATTCCCACATTTCCAACAACGGTCGCAAACTCACTCAGAGTCCTTCCTTTGGTTTTCCGGTATTTCCGCTTCGTACGATTGCATGTAGAACTGCGGTGCTCTTTTTCCGCCCACGATGGACAGGCGCTCTTCGGCCGTGGCCTGGAACTTTCGCTCGTCCATCCGGCCGTTTTGGTCTTCGGCTTTCACATACAAAACGTATTCCATGTCAAGCTGAAACGGATCCGTGCCTCTGGTACGCACCACGCCGGACCGTTCGTCCACTTCGAACCTTCCCCCGGCTGCGGAAAACCGTAGTAATTAGTTGGTAATCATACATAGGTAACATTAACAACATCAAATACGCTTAGGGCGTGTATGTGTAAGCATACGTACTCCTGTCTCGCACGATGAAATAATGAATGCTGTGGTCGGTGTCCGGGTCTCTGGCCTGAAGCGTGAATATGGGTGTGTTGGGCGGTGCGTTCAGCTGAACCACCGCTTGCATGGGCAGCGGACGGTTGATGAAGTAAGGCGGTTCGTCGTTCACGTCCTTCACGTGTATGATCACTCTCTGGTTGTCCGTATCTGAAAAACATTACATCGGAATCGGTCAAAAAAACATAGATAAGACAATAACGATAACGGCTAAACAAATAAAATGCTAATAACGTTACTAGATTACATGTTTTAGCGCACAAGTCTACACGATTCGATTAATCGCATGCAAAATCGAAACCACCATCGTTTGTAATTATTTTTTTTTTTCATTTACATTTGCACGGTAAAGACAAAACTGTTAGGTTTTACAACAGGTTGGTCGCGTCGATATCATCATTATTAGTATTGTTTGTCGTGCACAATCGTTATGTGTGGCATTCCGTTAATTGGACGGCCAAATGGAAGCAAAACAGTGTCCGCCCATCCAATGTACAACATAATAGTGCAAACCGAAACGGGTGACGGCAACCATAGCCATACCTATTTAAAAAGGCATTCCCCAGTGACAGCCGACGGTTAAATAATCTCCAAAGCGAGAGAGAGAGAGGGATTATTGATTTAAACGCAAACCCGTATGTAAATTCCATTAACGCGAAACTGCCGGACCACTTTTTGTTTAACGGCCAATTAGCGCATTTGATGTTTCCGACAATGTCACATAATATATTCTGACCTAACGATTGACGAGACCTAAAAGCTCGATCAGACATTAGTGCAAATCCTCCGAGTATATCAATTTTATAAAACCAGGATCACTGACCAAGCTAAAGACGAAAAAGCTTTACTACAGACATTTGAGATGCTGTATCGAATCGTGTCGTTGGTACGGATATAAATCAATCACGTTAGATTGATCACTCATTCGAGTTATTAATTCACCTGATCATTATAAATGTACCTAATTTAATACACCAACAAACGTTACAACAACTTACCTGTCCGTGAATCATCAGACGTATCGAATTCAACGTGAAATTAATAGTTACACGGTAATAATTGTTTTTGGTATCTAGCATCGATGACTACCTCATGTGGAGAATGCAGACCACCCTGCGGATCGATGCGCCAATAATGAAGTAATTGGTTATAGATTACTTTCCAATCATGCAGTACATCATATAAGGCAGTAATTTAAAAACACAAGAGTGTACCTAATTAGAAAATGAAGCCCATTCTCACGGGCTAATCTAACCTACCTGACCTTCGAGAATAAAGTATAAACGAGATGGAAAGAGGCAACGACAATGTTGTGTGACAGAGAGGTATTACTTAAAGTAAATTGAAAACTTTAGCGGTGCCAGCAACGATGTTGGACATTGAATAGAAAAAATAGACAGGCAAATGGACGATTTGGACAGATTGGATGTAAGGAAGAAAATTAAATAGTAAAATAGATTATTGTAGGATTTATCGGTAAAGATTGACTGAAGAGGAAGCGGGTGGATGTTTGAAGACACAGAGGTGTGTGGAGTAGACCGAAAACGCGTGGGGAGATTGATTGAAAATGATAGCACAAACGGTATTTGATAAATATAACGTTTAATTGAATTTTAACGGTTCAACCACAGATTAGTATGCCGGGTTAGTATTAAGGAATGCGCGTAATTTATTATTTTACATATTTTTAATGTGCTATTGTGGTTTTGCCAAAAACGTACTGGCGCCTTTAGGAGTGTATAATTTTGAAATTATTTCCGGTCGCCCTGCATCCGTTAACGTTAAATTACTAACGGAGGCCACACGTCATCTACGTGAAAAGCTGCGACGGTAGGTATGAAAATAAAATACACAAAAGGTAGGAAGGGATGGAAAGGAAATAGGGTAAAACATCATCATAAGCAGTGGAATTTCACGGCTTCGGTGAATTTCGTCCGTGGGGCGCAGCACGGCATCGTTTTGAAAAAATATAATGTATCATCCAATTACCGCACCTGAGCCGGCCACGAGACGATGATGAAGCCTCTGTTTAAAGCTGGGGCACGCCTATACAATAATAATAACGAAACGCCGGGCAATTGTGCAAGAAAGTTTGCCAAAAAAGTAGCAGCGAAAAGAATATGAGACACAAACGTCAACCGTTTGTGTAATCCGCTGGATTTATGTTTTATCTTGCCCGTACAGTTTTGCCACCCCACCGCTGGGGTTAAAACTTCGGTACGAAAAATGTACTGCACGTCCAGCATATAATATTATAACATGTATACACCACCTTTATCCGTCTTTATAAATGTACTATTTTGGAATACTATCTGCAAGAGTGTGCAATATAGTGTTATATCAAGTGCAAAATATTTCAACGCGTCACCGAGGTCGACAAGAAGCACAGTGAACCGGAGAATGGTTTTGAACCGTAGTAAAATCGAATTAAAAAAATATATTTCGAGAAAAATAACCCCCAATCATACCTAAGCCGCCGTAGCTGCCGCCGAAAAATAATAATTTAAATTATTATAATACTTTTTCTATTTAAAATTGTTTAACGACCGAACGATAATAACATCGTGCCAGAGATGAAAATATAATAAGAACAACAATACGACAAGCCACTAAAGAAAAGCAATAAAACACTCGTCGTAAACGCCGCAAAGCAATAACGTAAAAAAAAAATCTTGGTTTTTTTTTTATCCAAAATTAGGTTCCAATTTAAATACAACGACTGGTCAGACTTGGATTCCAAACGTTTTAAACAATCTCATTAAACCCGCCAAAAACAACCCAGACGAAGTCTCAAGGATTCTTTGATACAATGATTATTTGCTTGGGTTGGGTAATTCTTACTTGTTGGCGAAAATGAGTTGGTCCACTAAATACAATAATTAAATCATCCTTTAAATACTGTGAAAAAATAGCACTCTGAGGACAACAATTAAATAACTTATTAAGAGTTTGGTAAAAAAGTTAACATAAATCATAATGATAAATTAAAACTTTAAAGTCCATTTGCCAAAAGTGAGATTGGCCCTTTTTGAACCAAGCATGTGTATACCCAAAACCCAAAGATACTCTGAAAGTATGCAAATAAATAAAATTGAATTATATATATACCATTATACAAGTTTTTTTTTAATAGATGAAAAATCACAAAAATATAAATTTATATAAAAAAAAACATTTATTTGAAATCAACAATTCGGTTAAAATAAAAACGTTTGATCGTTTTCCAGATAAAATTATTTTGTTTCAAAAATACACAGCTTCTCATATCTTTTAAAATTTGTATGATATTGACTAAAGAAATATGATTTTAATATATTTTGGTATACATAAAATCACAATAAGGCGTTTCTGGGGTGAAAAATTGGCTAATTTGTTCTTTGTAGAAAATATGAAATATTAGCATTAAAAGAGGCAGATTTATTTATGTATTTAAACGTTTTTCTTATAGCAATAAATATTATGTTTTTTTTTTTAAAATTCAAGATGGCAGATTTGAGAAAATGCGATAACTTTCCTTAAATGCCTTTATGTTGTACGCACAAAAACGTAGACCACGATGGGTGCGATTAGCATCAATTAAATGACAACAAATTAGTACCTACTATAGTTAAATCTCCTACCAAAGTAGCTCCTAATTAGTGTCTCGACTCGATTAAGATCAGAACTATAATCCTTAATTCGGTTTATCGTTAATAAATGTGTATTTGTTTAATTCAACTGTCGTGTACAGTCCAAAATACAAGAGTTGTATAACTTTAACGAAAACACATTTCCAACGGTTCAGCAATAATTATAAATAAGTAATAACAATATCCTAAACCCGTGAACAGGTACCCAGTGCATTGCATAGCTAAATAATGAGTATGGCTAACGTTAAGTATATTATAATGCCTAATGGAAAGGCGCGGTTTAAACCAGACTGGAACACATAAATCACAATGCGTATTATATCCAAGTGGCCCCGGGGAGAGTACTACTAATATTTATAGCCGCATTAAAAACATTTTATTAGTATAAACATTGTTTTTTTTTTGTTTCATTGAAATAAAATACACTTTTTTTTGTGCGGTGTTGTGTTACCTATCGCTGCTACTAATAAATCCCGATGCGGCCCGAGGGAACTAAAATATTATAATACTATATTTTATAATAAATATATGGTAAACGCCTATTATGTACTCGTTTATGCGAGAAAAAAGCTAGCTAAAGCTACTATGACCAACGTTCCATCGAACCTCACTATTCCCTGAAACGAATAATAATCTGGAGAGTTTTCTTTAAATTATTTTTTTAATTTTTAATGACAAAAATTAAAAGTTTCTCTTGTCTAAAAAATTATTTCAAAATATCCAGTATCAGTTGAGTTCACAGTTAATTTTTATACCTTTTAACAAAAACATTTTTTTTCAAAATATTAATGACATCATCAATTAGCTTAGGTTTAAATGGACTTATATTGGTTGTTCGACTTTTGGAGATGGGTAAAAAAGGTTATTATTAAAGTAAATAAAAATATGAGTTGATTAACTAAAAAAAAACTCCGAGCATGTGGCATATTTTATTTTATCCTTTTTTTATTAAACCAATGCTGAAGAATTAACCCAATAATAATTGAACATACGAAGACAGTTATAGAATATATAGTTATACTATATATATATGTAATTTATTTATATAAAGTACTTAGTATAGGTAAAAATAAATAAGAAATTTGAGAAATATGAGTTAATTTTGACGTGTTGAAATGATAATATCAAAATACGTCATTAGCCAAATCTGGTAGTATACAAGCAGAGAAATTTGAGAGAATTCGCAGTGTTGATTCGATCGAACTAAAAAGGTAAATGCCACTGATGAAGTGGACAGAAAAACATGAAGGCAGAACACTGAGAGATGCAGATGAAATTGATTTGGTCGATTAAGGCGAAGAAGACAAAAAATATATAATTTTTGTATTTCATCATAACAAAAACGGACGATAGGTAGGTACTTATTATGTGAGCAAATATCAAAGTTCTATTGTTGGAAACAAATGGGGGAAACAATGTAAACAACTTTTATCGGTCTAAGACTTAGACTGATTTTATTGAATTTAGCTAAATTAGTTTGTCTCTTCTTGTTTTTTAAATTTTAACAATTTTGACTACCGC